CCACCCCCGAGGCAAACCCCGGGGGGGGGGGGGGGGGGGGGGGCTAGCGGAGAACGGCAGTGTGAACTACTTCGTACACCCCTGTGGAATGTAAATCTGGAGGAATCTGGAGGTTGGAGCATCGTGCTCGAAGCTAAATATGCCAGTTTTCACGTAGAGTTAAGGCGCTCGGGGTGCAGGTCTCCGAAAAACGAAGCGACGGCAGCGGCGGTTACAACAAATTCGGCGGCGACGAGAACAACAACAGCACCTAAAAGCAGCTGAAACAACATAAACGGCAGCGGCACTCACCCCTAACCTAAAGTATTGCGCTGTCCAGCCCTTGTACAGCTGTGGAGATTTCGACGGCGCCGGACGACGTGCAGTCGGGCCCAAGTCATCCGCGTGAGTTCCGCAGCAGCATCGAACCCGGTTCCAACCAAGATCATCCACACGGCCAAATCAGGACAAGTACAGCAGCAGAAAGCATGCACGTGCGCGATGGAACACCCAGGTGCGGCGAATTGAGTGGGGGCTCATGCAAGTCAATGGTGTGGTTGTTGCCGGAAGAGTGGAAATGAACACGAGCAGGCTCATTGCCGCAACCGTTGTGTGTGTGTATCCTTGCACAAATCCCCCCCAGAACAAGAAACCGGACGAGAAAAAAGTAAAAAGAGCAGCAGCAGTGTCCTGCAACTGCTGCTTCTCTTCCCTCACCCCTCCGTCACCGCTCCAGTTCTATCGCGGCACCCTTCTTCCACATGCGTGCCCGCAAGTCTCGTCTTTAAACGTGTCACTTGCCCCCCTGAGCCCTTCCCAGGTGGCAAGATTCGACCCAACCACACACTCGAAGAGCACCTCCTGTATGAGTCAAAGGGTTTTCTCTTACCCGCACACCCTTGATCCGCGCCCTGCGCCCCGATCGGAATCGCTTCTACGTCATCTCGAAAATTCTATGTCATCTCGAAACCAGTAACCACTCCGTCGTTGTGGGACAGCAACTCCCGCAGCGGAACGGATCCCGCCGTACGAAAGGGTATCACCGACGCAATCCAAGTCCCTCCCCGCATAGAAAAGTTGCCTCCCTCGCCCCACCCTCGCGCCCACCAATCTGCACACCCTGCGCGTGGCGTTGGACTGCAATGGAGCTACAGCATACCATGCTCAGCTTACCCCCCTGAACCCTTCGGCGCTGACGGTCTTGACGGCGCAATCCAGGGGCCCCGTGTATCGCTCTGCCACGCCGGTCCCCTGAGCGTACAGCCTTGTGCTAACCACGTCCAATGGGTTCATTGTCGTAGTGACAACTAGCCCGGCCGCTAAGCTCGAGGACAGATACCTATAGTTTGAACAGGACACGGGTCACACAAAACAAAGGGCAAACGATTCACTGCATGTGCAGGCGGGGGGGGGTGTCTGCTTTTGGGACGGCCTTGACCTGGTGTTTCGAGTTTGGGGGTATTGTTGCCCCTCTTCTTGTCTCTTTGCAATTAGTGGTGTGTGGGTCATCGGGTTTGTCGCTATGGCAATGTTTCTGTTCACGGCAAACCGGCCGTGGCTGATAGACTTTGTTGATCCGGGCGTGCTCTTCACGCTTCGGGGCAGGAGCACGCCTGTTTGTCCCTCCGCAATTGGGCAGATGCGAAACATTTTCCCCAAGAACCACGCGATCAACACGAATGTGTGCCGCTCCTTGCTTAATCCCTTTCCCGATAAATGTCTCGCCTCTCCCGTCTACTCCCCTTCTGACCTGATATATGTCGAAGTATTTCGTTGTATTGGCTGCAGTGCTTCGCGAGCGTCGCCAGTGATTGGTATCAAGTTGTGCAAAGATCCCCCCGCGGCCATAATTTAGGTCCAGATTTATCACTAGGTCTGCGTCGCACTTTTGTAACGACAGGTACAACAAACAAAATACCAAAACAACAACCAACCATGTATTGATCAGAAAATACAACAAAGGACGAAACCAACCGAAAACCACGATCCCAATATTGTGTACTTGTAAAGTCAGAAAGCTTGTTATCCACAGACGTTCGAAAACGAGAAAATAAAAGTCGACACTGGTCTCACGCGTAGACGTTGTCCTCGAACAAGCCCGTTCCCAGCACGGCCGCCTTGCAGGAGGAGTACACCGACAGCTGGGTCGCGGACCCAACCATAACCCTCATCACGGACGCGCTCGTGCCCCGGGTCAGCCCGCGCAGCCCTCTTTTTTTTTTTTTTTTTTTTGCACGATATCCGTAAAGGCATGCCATGTCCCTCGGTACCTGTGTTGCATGCGTACACAAGTCCATCGTACCAAAGCGGAGTGTGTCTGTACCCATTGGGCAACATGGCGGAAGGCGAGCTTCCACCTCCCCCTGGCCCGTGTAGGAATACATCCCGTCACGTCCAAGAATATGTGCATTCATTTGTCAGTTGTCACGGAGGCCGGTGGCGGCTTTGAGGTCTTCTCTTGTGTGCGCCGTAGTTTCACGTTCGATGAGAGAGCCTAACGGAGGAGCAAGTGCGACAACAACAACAGCAGCACACGGTACCGTCTCTCGCGGCACGTCCACACAGCGTCAACGTTCAACAGCCCCCACGCTCTTGCTTGCCCCCCTCCTCGTTGGGATGAAGCGAGCCTGGCTGCGTGCTGTTCACCTGAAGCACTCTGCAGAGGATTTGTGGGCACCGCGTGCAACCCGCGCCCGCGAGATCGCGTACCTATTTCAGATTGGGCTGCACCGACAACCTTGAATAGCAGCGCTCACGGCTGCTTACATCGGGGGGATGCCGATCTGCCGCTGCTAGCCGTTCTGTGCCTCCTGCTGGACTTAAGGCAAAGAAGAGCTGCACCTGGCTAGCGTTTGCCGACGAATCACTGAGTACATCGCCAACAACTCACAACAGTCACGGAACACCTCGCACCCACCGAAACTCCCCGCCCCCAGCCGTCCTGAGGCTGTGCGCCTTCGACTGGCTTTGCAGCCGGGCCTTGACCAAAAACACAGGAGACCCGATCAGCGCCCCCGCCGCCCCGCACGCCGCCCCCGCAGCGAGGTTCCGGAAGAAAAAGCCAATCTTGCCCTTGTTCTCGGCGTCGACCCCAAGGGCTTTTTGCACAGGTGCGAACAGGGACAAACGTGTCCCGTTCATCAAAATCTGTTATTTTTTATAGTTTGTGAAGGGGTGGTGGCGGTGGCAGCGGTGCTGGTTGTAGCGAAGTGTAGGGGGCGGAGGGTGGGAAAAGCGACGTTCGAGCGGATGGTATGGTCGTAAGGAATAAAGCCAGAGAAAAGTAAAATACATCTACCGAGAGAGCGGGAGGGAGAGAGAGACGGAGAGAAAAAGAGAGGGAAACAGAGAGAGGTACAGAGGGCGAGCGATGGAGAGAAACAGACAGAGAGAGACAGAGGGAGAGAGACGGAGAGAGGGAGAGAGACAGAGAGGGAGAGGGAGAGGGCGAGAGAGACATACTCCGCTGAACAACGGCATTGGCTGCGAGGCAAACACGGACAACAGATACCTGGTACATGAGACCCGGCAGCAGTCCGGCCTGAATCCCCCGAACCCCCTCGTCCCTGCAGATCTTGTAGAAGGCATGGAGGGCATTCTTGTAGGGGGCTCGATAGACCTGGGTAGTCTGCTGGCTTTGGCCGGCCTTCCGCAGCACCAGTTCGCTCTGCAACTGCATTCGTGTCTTCACCACGTCCATCTGTGTGCCCAAGAAGCCACAAAGACGGCACGGATGCCAAAAATGCGTTTAACAAGGGACCCTGCGGGGGGAGCTGAGTTTGAGCTCAGCTGCTACGTTTGTCGTAGTAGAGAACAAGATAACGCTTGGTTCGTCAGGTTGTGACTTGTTAAAATTCAAGTCGGGCAGGACAAAATCTAAATCTAAACCGCCTTCAAATAGTTGTGTTTAAATCATGTTGCGGTAGTGTTGCCCACCACATACATCAGAGAGAGGCAACATGTAGAAAAACTTTACGAGGGGAGCTCACCGGATTTGAAAGGACAGAGGCGCAAGACGTAGCTGACCCTGCCAACAAAAAATCAACGACAGGGTGTCGAGGTTCCTTCGTCGGAAGGCTCTCCTGTCGTGGCGCTACCTCTGTCCCGACCGCCGACATCCTGAACCCTGAGCACTCCCGACGTTGTTTCTGCCTCTACACAGCAGGCAGATCGGAAGACGAAATGCGTGCTTGGTTCAACTTTACTACCGAAACACGAACACGGACTGAAAAATGTCCTACTCCGGCCTTGCGCTGCTTTTGGCAGGGCGGCTCTCTTCTCTCTACTCTTGACCCCCTCGAAAAATCTCCGTGCGCCCTTCAGTTTGACATCGGCGGGGGAATCAGCAAGGAAAGTCTATAACTGAACCATAATGCCTCGGTTCCGACGGGGAACATGAGGGTTCGTCCCCGGGTGAAATAAACCAGCCGGCCCACTTATAGAAGAGAACCACAGTCCAAACATCCATATGGATCGAAACCCCGGGAAACCGCCCGGAGTGTCCCCGAAGAGGTTCTTCTCCCTCTCCTATAAAAGCAGCGATAATCACGGCGGCGGAGAGCCGTCTGAAGGCGGCGACACGCACCCGCACGCTGGGGGAAGACGAGGAGACAACACACAACGATAACTGGTGAGATCCCGTCCCGACAGGCGTCCGTGCATCCTCTGTGTCTGTGCCTCACCCTCACCCTCTCTGTGATGTTTTTTTTGGAAATAAAATAGCAACGGCCGCACCCGCACCAGCGCCATGTGTGTGTTGGTCTGTCTCCTGTGTTGCAGCCTCCCTCATGCTGTCCCACGTGTCGATGCTGCTCTGTACCTGTTGTTGCCGTCGTACGTACGTTGGTGATCATGTGCCTGCACTGGTGTGGTCAGGCCAGGCCAGGCCCTGCCTGTTGTCCTTGCCGTATAGTCCGGAGTCTTTTCTTCTGGCTGCTCGGCTGTATGGTGGTGCTACAGCAGTGCTGGGCTGGTAGAGGTGCAGGCATTGTGCACGCACTTGCCCAACCCCTTAACTTCATGTGTCTACCCTCCATGTTCGCGTCGTGGGACCCGTGGCCTGCCGTGCGGTAGTGTCATTGCTAGGAATGCTTCCATCCAGTGCTGCTCTGTCGGCCTCTTACGGTGCTCGTCATGCTGGGCGCTGCGGGAGCCTTTGCGGGCTACCCTGTACAAGCCCACCCCGTACAGCAACAACAGCAGCAGATATTGACCACCAGCCCTCCGCCCGAAACGCAGGCGAGACGGGTTGATGTTTGACAAGTGCGGTTCGACGTGACACCGGCAATGTTTGTTCCGTGGGTGTAGCACGCCAGTGGATTGTCGCTGCTGTGCTGTACCTCGTGCCTTTCAACGCGTGCACGTACGGTTCGCTGTTTTCGTGTACTCAGCGGTGGACGGCGAAACGTTTCATTTGTCTTGTCTTGTGATCAAACGTTGACATGGTGTCCTTCCATTCCGCCGCGTGGTGGGTTTCGCGTGCGGTTGCAGGCCATGCTTTCACCTCGCACTGGTCTGCCGTTGGGAACTCCGGCCCCTGTGGGTGCTCCCGATGCTGGGGCCGCCGGAGGTTTTGCGGGCTACCCTGTACAAGCCCACCCCGTACAGCAACAACAGCAGCAGACATTGACCACCAGCCCCCCGCCGGAAACGCAGGCGAGACGGGTTGGTGCTTGACACGTGCCGTTCGGCGTGACACCCACAATGTTTTTTTGTGTGCTTTACTTGATGTTGCTGCTGCTGTTCCCCTTGGCCCCATGAAAAGAGCACCGGTATCTGGCATTCCCCCGGTCCACATCAAGGCTCCCTGTAGAGGCCCTGCCATTGTTTTCGTGGGTGTAGCACGCCAATTGATTGTCCCTGCTGTGCTGCACCTCGTGCCTTTCAACGCGTGCACGTTCGGTTCGCTGTTTTCGTGTACTCAGCGGTGGACGGCGAAACGTTTCATTTGTCTTGTCTTGTGAATCAAATATGGGGCAAGGAAGATTGAACTCGTTGGAGTAGGTCTACAGTGGCTCCCGTCGTATCCCACGGTTTGTCATGGTTGGTAGTCATGATGCCGCATGACGAACGGCCCTTGAAGCGTGGTACTGCTGTCGCCTCCACATTGTTACCCTGTTTGTCTGTGACACGCCACTTATTTTTGTGCTCCCGGCTCTCCCATACGGCGCAGGTCATGGGATGAAGCCAAAAGAGGTGACGAAAGCAATGAAGGCGTTGCACGAGGACAGCGACATCGACATCAACAAGCGCGCGGTGCAGAACGCAGCTGCCATTGTGCACGGGGCGGAGAAGCCGAGAGATGCTGCCGATGCGTACGAAGAGGTGTGTCCATGTGTCCGTTGAGACTGTTGCCTCTCTTGTTTGTGTGTGGGATGTTGGGTTTTGCTCAAGGCGGTATCCGCGGCGACAAGACACATACGATCGCAGGTGACAACCGGGAGAATATATGCCCCATGACACCAAACCAAGAAATGTTGGAGGTAAAAAATGTGTGCCGTGCCGTCGTCGTGGTTTTGCGCTGATGCCCTCGATGTTTCCGGGCGCTTAACATGTTGCAATTTCAGGTCATGGCCGCGACGGCCGACGGCGGAGTGTGCGAGATCAAGATGGATGACAGCGGCCGCCTGACGCACATCTGGTGGCAAACGAGAGAGCAGGTAGGTCGCCGGTCGTTGTGCCCCATACGAATATTCCCCAGCCGGAAGGTTTGCTTTCATTTTAGCATCTCGCACGTACCGCTTCGCCGTCCGCAAATGTAGGACGTCTGACCGAAAGCACGCCGTAGGCAAGGGTGGGGGTGCGTTGTGACGCGTCCAACACACGTCACACCCACAATTAAGTGCTCTCGATCCCCTTCGACGTCATGCTCCGAATACGCAGGTGGCGCTTTGGAATCGGTACGGTCACGTTGCGCTCTACGACGACACCGCTGTCAAGAACAGATACCGTATGCCTCTCGGTGTGCTCGCTGTCGTCGATTCGGAGTATCGGACGCGGATCGTCGGCCAAAGCATAACGGCCGACACCACAACGGACACTTTCCTGTGGATGTTGAAGAGTGCGTTGGAGTCTCGCGGGAAGCAGCCGGATACCTTCATCCAGGACACGGACGCGGCGATGACGGCGGCGGTGCGAGAGGTGTTCCCGGACGCGCTGGCGAGGCGCAATTTATGGCACCTCAACCAGAACGTTATCAAGGCCCTCGCTAAAGTCCTTGGTGGGTACATGAAGGTGCGCTCTACTGTGTGTGTTGGCGTGGTTAGTCTGGCCTCTCGTATTGTCCTGGTCGCGCGACGTACGCTGCCCACTCTAGCCCCCCTCCCCCACTCCCGCTTGTATCCCCTGTGCGAGTTGGTGCGTTGTCATGGATCAGTGTCGCCTACTTGGAAGAGTGATATCCAGCGTCTCTGCGTAGACCGTGATGCGGAGACGACCTCGGCTTCGACGGAAACATACCTCACGACGTCCAGTGCACACAGAAAAAGCAGCAGCAGCAGCAGCAGGTTGTAAGCACCAATGGTATGTCGCTGAGTTTTTTCAACCCTCTCCTCGTCTCGCCTTAGCGCTAACGAAGTGTACGGGGTTGTTGGTGGCAGTCAATCGTACAGACCGGTAGCCCATATCGCAAAGGCCCCAACTCACGCAACACCCACCCGGCCCACGTCGTTTGTGTTTTCCGCAGCCTTTCATGGACGAGTTCAGGTGTGTGCGTCAGCAGCTGTCATTGGCGAAGTTCGAACGGAAGTTCAACGCCCTCATCGAAAAGTACCCGAAGGCGGAGAAGTACATGCAAGTAGTATATGACGACCGTGCACGGTGGGCGGAATATGTGTCGCCCCTGGTGTTCTCCGTGGGTTCGTGGACGACATCAAGAGTTGAAGGTGCGTGTATGCGTCATCTGCCATCATGAGCGTTTTGTTCGAGAACGACAGCGCATATAGCGTTGTCGTTGTTTTTGGGAGTTTTTCTACGTCTGTAGGGGTTGGGGGCGGCTATCTTCCTTGCCCCCTATTTACTATGCCATTGGTGAGTGCTTCTGGACGAATTTATCGTACGCCGTCAGTGGATGACCAGTAAACAACTCCCTACATGACGCTAATGTTTACGACCTCTTCGAAACATGTGGCTGTTGTCCGGCCCCTGTTGTTCGGGATTGATGTACTTGGTCGGTGCACTGCGATCGTCCGGCTCACGTGTACATACATCTGTGGCGATGGGTGCGTCAAGTCATAGGCTTCTCTTTCAGTCGTTTGGCGTACTGCGACTTCAACGATGTCTGATGACACCAATCACTAACCTACGGTTTGGTTTGTGTGTCGCTTCTTGCGTGTTTGTCCGCCGCACACACAACAGGCCAAAACGCCCTCATCAGGGATAGGTGCAACTCGCGCTCCTCGCTTTTGGACGTGGCGAAGTACTTTTCGGGCATCATCTGTTCCCAGAAGGATGCCGCCATGCTGCGTGACGCAATCGACCATCTGCCGCCTAATCGGATGGCGGCTCCACCAGCGACCGCTTTCAAGAGTGTGCTCGAGTCCTGCGAGTTCTCCATCGCGGGCTGGCCGCGGCGGTTCATGGAGCAAGAGATGACCGCGGCCATCACGTTTTGCCAGATGGGTGGTGGGGAGGTGGATGGACCAGAACGCGCGGCAGCTTCGGGGCGCACGTTCGAGTACATCGAGGACAAGCTTTGCCGACGCCATTTACGTCTTCGGGATTCACGAGCAGCGTGATGACAAGGCCTTCGACTACCTCGTCTTGCTCTTTTCCGACGGTAGCCATCTCTGCCAGTGCCGCACACTCCAAACTCTCAGGCTATTTTGTCGCCATGTGTGGGCGGCGATGATGTACAGCCCCCGATTCAGATTCCACGTAGGCCTCCTGCACGAGCACTGGCTGACGGAAAAGGCGAGGGGAACACCGCAGCAGGACTGGCCGGATGTCGCCCGCCCTCGGTGGGTGGTATCCAACCGCCACGCTGCGAGAGAAGTGGACGGGGCGGCGGGAGAGGGAGAGGGAGAGGGGGTGGGGGGATGCAGCGGGAGATGGAAGTCTTTCGTTGGGAGCAGCCAGACGGTGCAGACGGTCCTGTTGGACTTGAAGGAGAAGGGGCCCACGGACCAGGATAGACAAGTGTTGTACGCCGACGTAACGAAGAAGCTCGGGCAAGCCGCGAGTATTTTGTCTGATCGCTTTTCACCGACAGTCGCCGTAGCCCTCGTGGACCAATTTCTGACGATGGTCAATGTGCAAGCAGGCGGGGTAGGAACTACAACGACGGGAGGGCGGGGGGCGGCTCTCTTCATGGCCAACCCTGGAACTGTTCGCCTGCCCGCTAGTGACAAGTAATAAAAGACGACCTGGCGCTGCAGAAAGATACACAAGAGGGGGTAGCAAGAGAGCCGCGACTTCGGGGTCCCAACTCTAGTTTCGGTGTTGCATACTTTGGGGTACGTGAGTAGCGGTACGCGGCCCTAGGTTTACGACGTCACCGGGGCATATGCCTGAACGATGTTTTGTCCCCCCCCGGCGGCAGGTCAAGGCTCGGTGTGTTGTTTATTTTTCGCTTCGGCGTTTTTGCGCCGATCGCCGTCTGTGATGTTGTCGATTTTGTGTTTGTATGTCTATTTGGTTGTTGCGGTGTAGCGTTCGATGGGGCCATCTGGTTCCTGTCCTGTTTTTATTTCTTTTGTTCCATTTCCTTTTCTTTTCTTTCTTCCGCCCCCTTTTTTGCCGTGTTGGGGTCATATCCAGGTCCTTTCATTTTTTTGGTGGGGGTCAGTCTATCATCAAATCGCTGTTGGATATTGATTGTTCTGTTTTGTTTTTTTCTGCGTCTATCTGTGCTTGTCGACCTGTGTGCTCTGCGAAGAAAACCGTGTGAGCCGCGTCTCGAGTTTGTTGAGCGGGCCTGCGGTGTGCGAACTAAACGATGCCTACAGATTTTGACGGCCCCATGATGACTGACATCCATCACGGCAGCACCGTGCAGCAGGTTATATCTACCAAAAAAAGAATACTGCTGTATGTAGTTCACAAAATCTACAGCAACAATTGCTTGCAGCAGCAGAAACGCACAACAACAGCAGCACCACACGCGGATAGACACACACACAGAGAGAGACGAGCACTCCTCTAAGTACGGGGCGTTGTGTGTCGTCGTGTCCTCCTGTTCCTCTGAGGCCTAGCGTCTCCTGGGCATCCCGGGTGCGAAGGGTGGCCTTGGCGTGAAATATGTGCCAGTATGGCAGTATGGACTGTTGAGGCTGTTGCTGCAGACGAGAGCTCTGCTTCCGAAGACAACGGGCGTTAGATCCAGGCTCCGAGATAATATTGAATTTGAGAGGGAGAGAGGAGAACCTCTTCGGGGACACTCCGGGAGGTTTCCCGGGGTTTCGATCCGTCCGGATGTTTGGACTGTGGTTCTCTTTTATAATCCATGGATTGCAAATATTCGCGCCCCCCGCTGCCACAGCCAAGTACACGGACTGCATTGGCCTTGCCGTAATAGGGAGACTTGTATTGTTGCGAAACAAATACGGAAAGTTCACGGAGCGACTCTGCACTGCACCACACCGCTCAAAGCTAGTCGTTCTCAGGCAGGGGAAAGAGGAAAGGTCCTCCCTGTTTGCCGGCCTGCTCTGCCTACTCCTCCTCTGCCTACGCTGCCGATCCTCTCCGAAAAAACTCGTCCGAAAAAACGGTGGTCAGGTGTCCGGGTTGTGGTTGCTTGCTGTGGCTGATGAGTGTTTTCGAGAAATGCAAAAACATACAGGTACTTTCTGACGCTATGAATTCATTGCTTATCTGTCTCAGACTCTATGATAGAGATGGATTCGTTGTGTCATTAAGAAAGAAAGAAAAAAAAAAGGGCGTTGCAGGCAAATTGTTGCAGGGCGAAAGTTGCAGCTGGCCAATACCATGCATACCACGAAGTCAGCTGTTCAAGGTAATGCCTACTGGATCAATTGTTACGATCCTACAGCAACATTGCAACACAGCAACGCAGCACAGCAGTGTTCGTCGCTCCGCGCGAAATAGGAAAAAAACTCTTTTCTATGATGGAGATGGATTCGTTGTGTCTTAAAAAGGGGGACGCACCTCCGGCAACCCCCCCCGGCTAATTTAGTAATCCCGCCGCTTGTGGCTTCGCGTCTTCGCACGCCTCACCAGCGCAACACTACCTCCTGCGATCGCCCACAACACAACACGTAGAGAGCATATCATTTGTTCTGCTTCAAGCTGGGGACAGTTGGCGACCCTCCTCGCCGCACCGAACGCGCTCTCCCACATCAGGAGAAAGGTATGGGCGCCATTGTCGGAGGAACTGTCAACAATCAAGTGACCAGGCCAACAGCAGCTTCCTTGTTGTGATTCGAACCAGAGGAGGCGGACCTCCACCAACATCCTCGCATATGCCAACCAATCTTGACCCCTTCTTCTGGAAGATGCGCTCTCATCCAACCAAGGAGTAACGCCGGTGGAAACACCCGGTCTCCCAAGACCATGTGCTGTGTAGGTACATTGTCGTGTCACGTAACGGATATGCAGTGTCGCTGGTTGCATCTGCGAAATCTGATTCCTCTGCCTACTGCTGCTGCGGAATATCAGCAGTGGCCGTGCAAAGCAGTTGTGTTGTTGTATCTGAGGCAGAGGAGGAACAGTATTCTATGTAGTTGGGAACAGATTACATTGTAAGATTGCTTGCTCCTGGGCGCAAGCAAGATCTACCTATTCTTCCGCGCCCTAAATAAACCATAGTCACGATTTTGGCACAAACAGCAGTGCGAAGCTACGCCAGGGTGCGGGCGAGTGCATAGGCGTGCGATCGATTGCTCCGAAGAGGGTTGTATCGAAACCTGAACGACACGTGCAAGGGAAGCTCGCGAAGTGATCCTCTTTCCAACACACCACCCTTTTTCGGTTTTTGGCATTGACAGCCTCTTGGTTGGTTGTGGAGCAACCGATCGATCACACATCTGTGCGGTCTTTCTGTAGCCCACATCAATACTTCGATGTTCTTGGTGATGAGAGCGAGAGAGAGAGGCGCACTGGCCAGCTCTCGATCACTACACACAAAAGGTATCTAGACTAACTACTGCTGTTGCGGATTTGCATAGTCAACCGCCGATGTTGGGATCCCCCCGAGAACTACAACAATGCCTGACCGTACGCTGACAGACCCACCCGTAGAGGAATATGTCACACAACTACTCTGTTGTCTTTACTCTATTGAACTGCACGTTGTGTTAGCTACTGCTGATTGCTGAGCTGGTACCATTCACAGAATACTACCGCGCTCATGCTATCGTACTTACTATGTGGCTTGGGCACTAGTCTACTAGTGTCGTCTACTTGCTACTGCTACTGTGTACGAATTTCCCGAACAAATGTCTACTTCGAGGTATTCAAAATTCCGACCAACACGGCGTGATGGATGACTACCGTACATCACCATATGGTACACAGAGATATACGCAGAGGATTTCAACGCAAGATCCAAGACAGCTCAGTTGCTTTGATGGGACAATCGGACATGACCTACATATTTTCTTATGGAATGGTGACTGCCTTTTAGAGCTTATTGGTCAACCTCCCCTTCCCCGGCTGTCTTGCCTGGGCCTGTAATGAGGAGTGCCGGCCATTGGTGTCATCCAAACATAGCCCCAGGGTATCTGGCGACATAAGCTGTTATTATTATCCGGCTTTTGTTGGCGGCGGTCAAATAGATAGACGAAGCACTGGAGCGCAGGTCTAGCGGTGATTGGCGGCTAAACCGCACTACAACCCCACGCTTGAGCAAGAAGACCAGTTACATGGGGCAGCCCATCAGGAGTCTACATACATTGGTGTAGTTTCGGACTCAAGTATTGACAAGATTTCGGATTTCGAAGTCAAACAAGCTCCCATCCATTCCTTGGAACAGCCTGAAATACATATTTGAAAATTGGCTTCCAGATTTTGAATTTTTTCAGAAAGACCAATTGGAAAGACCTTCTGTGCGACCAGGTAGAGGCACTGGATCCACCCTACAGAAAAGACAAACTAGTGCTAGCTAAGCGCATGACCACTTGCATATTAACGTGTCATCCATAGCTAACTACGGATGAGCTGGTGCGCTCTCTGCCGACTGAAATGCCGATTTGACGTGAGAGCGCCAATAGAGCGGCAAGTGAGAAAGGTGGAGAGAGAATCCTCAAAAGATCTGAAAAAACAATCACAGAAAGTTAGAATTCATCGATACAATCCCATAAAGATTTAACGAAAAACGAGACCCAGATATCGGTATGCCTGTTTAAGCACGTTGGGCCCTTGGCAGAAAGTATTCCAGGGAGAAGTGGGACGTGTACAACATAAGACGAGATGGAAACACGAGAACGGCTCGTAGCGCGAAGAGAAAGGGAGAGGAGAAATATATGTATGTAGAAGACAGAGAGACATACAAGACGCGACTTCGGAAGTCGCACGTCGCGGCAGGAATGGACACGACCCTAAGCGGAGTATGGATGGTCCGAAAAGGCTCAACAGGACGACTCCTCGCAGGTGGCCGAATCTGTCTTTGACATGGACGAGGTACATCGAAGTTTTAGTCGAACGGGGAAAAAATCCCCAACACAACAGACATATGCTGGCATTTACCTGTACAAGAATCAGGACCGGTCCTCCTTGTGACTGTTCTCCTTCTTTACAGCGACGCGTGGTCATGGTCAACTATGGAGCGTCAGAGGAGTGACGCCCGGCCCCTTGTTGCCTTGCCCTCTTTCTTGCATTATCCAGGGCAAGAAAGTATTATCAAGAGGGTCACGGGTTGCCAAGCGCGGGATATATCGCCTCGGATGATCGTGTCTCACGAGTAGCGATATGCGAGAACGATCGCGCCCAGACCCCCCTCGGTCGTGTCAAAGCCGACGGTTCTGTTTCCGGAGAAGGAGTTTGGGCATCACTGCGCTGTTGGCCGCAACAGGGACGATCGGTTGCTGGGGAGTCTCCGCGTTCCGCCGACGATATACCCCAGGGATGCGAGGGAAGGCCTGCGGTCGACGGAGGTGCGCGATGAGAAGAGGACTGCACAACGTTTGCTGCAGTGCTACTCCACCCCCGAGGCCGACCCGTTCGAGGGAAGATGGCGAAGCTGCGCCAACGGCGTTGAGGATTCCCCTGCCAACATGGTCGACTGGGAGTTTCCAACCTCGGAGTTCGGCTTTCTCGCAAAGTAGAAGAGGGCAAAAAAAGGTTTTCTGACAAGAGGTGCTTGTTGTGCTGTGCTTTTGGAACATGGAACACAAACCGGTAACAAACAACAACATTGGTTTTGTTCCGTTTTTCGGGCTCCAAGGTCGCGCACGGAAATATGTGGTTTCGAGTCGGGGATTCGAGCCACTTTTGGTTTGTTTCCTCCATATTTTGCTCTCCAAGCTTCCTTCCGTATGTGCCTGTTTGTTGTCGACCTCGGGTTATTTTCCGCCCCCAAATGTTGGGGCCGCAGGTTCATATTCTCGTACCTTGCGGAGTCAACCACTTTATTATTCCCAATTGTTGCCAGCTCTCGGTCAGTTGGATGTTTCTTCTTCCACACTTGCCAGAAGCAGCTAATATGGGTGCCTCTTAGCTCCTCCCTGGCACTGACAGTCCGGCTTTTCTTTTTTTCAAGTTTCCCTCTCTTCTTGTCTTTGTCGGTGTTTTTCTTGTCAACAAATAATGTCCCAGCCGAACCATTGGAATGAATACTCCAGGATTCGAAGCTGACCCTTGTTGCCGCCAACACGTTGCTCCACCGACTCTGAGCTACAGGGACATGTCACTCTACTGCGATTGTGTTGTGTGTTTTAGTGCCATCAGCTTCGTTCGGTGCCACAGCATCACCATTTCTTGGACGTTCGCACTTCGTGCTCTTAGAATCCTGCCGGACTGCCCCGGACGTGTGACGAAGCGTTATTCGGCGTCATCCATTGTCCTCACATGCCCCTTCAGTCACGGCGGGCACATGTTTTATCGCACGGCCGGTCGCCCCGGTGGTCTAGTGGTAACCTCGAAACCGCAAGTGGCGAAGTCGTGAGTTCGATTCCCCATGGGGCTGAAACATGTACACATTTGCGGGTGAAAGCGAGAAAGCTGAAAAGCTGGTAAGTACCAAACTCCGACGTTGGCACCGTTGACGAGGGAAAGGGGCGGCTGGACCCTTCTCGCGCTAAAGAAAACAAAGTAAATTCAGCACGCACCGCAGGAGGAAGGTGGGGCACAAAAAAAAAATATATATATACAGAAGAAAGTCCCGGTGTTCACCCCCTCCTGTGTGACCCTGGATGGTTGTAGTTGAACGAAAGAGTACACTGAAAAGTACTCTACGTATACTGAAAAGTGTAGTACACCTCTCACCACGAAAAATGGAGGGACTGAAGCCATAATAAATAGGACGAAAACAAACACACTTTGTGGACGCCCTGTACAGGCATTTGCGACCTCTCACCGCACCGCAAAATGCGCGTGTTGTGCGCTACGAATGCTGTAGTGAATCCGAAGATACGTCATTTTCCTGCTGCATGTGCTTTGTATTTGGTATCACACGACATGTGGTACAATATTAACACGTGCTAGATTACCGGAGCACGTGCATGGATGTGCACACCATTGCGAACCTTTGATGGATTCGTTCGTCGTGGCGGGTTCAGGCACCCTATATCGTACCCTCTAACTATGGCGTACATCAAGGCGTGATGCGATGATGCCCATCCTGGCTCTTCGAAACGCACCAACAGCAATTGTAACCGTCCGTATGTTCTACGGCCACGTCACAACGTGGCTGTTCAACTGTGACGGAACCGAGCGAGCGCAGGTGCCAGAATATTTGGAATATGCGGAAGCGAGTCGAGGGCGAAACAGGTCGCAGACCGTACTGGGCGTGGGAACCCACCAAGTGTTCGCTGGACGTCGTGAGGGACGAGAAACTCTGCCGAGTCTTGGAGGGTGGAAAAGACCTACTTCTCGTCGGTGAGTCGCAAGTTGCGAAGCGCAGTATAGTGTATAGGAGAGTCTTTTCACCCACCGACGCAACCATGTTGCAAAGGGACCTGATGCTGCACGCCAGTCCGACGCCATTCGCAGACGAGGCGGCGGCACGCGCAGGAAATCGGTGCGCCTGTCGTTTGTTTTGCTCCAACAGGGCGCGTTCCTCTTTTTACTGATGATGTCAATGTTGTCTGCAGTCTCGGGCAACCAATGTAAGGTGTGCGTATTTACGTTGTACGGAGCGGACATTGCTGCCAATATGCGTTCGTCGCTCGTTTTACTTTGACCAACAACCTCACTTCCCCCTCCCGTCATCATTTGCTCCCGATCACCCCTCCTTTGTCCTCAAGGGGACAGTCTGACGCGACTTTCCACAACAACGCTGGCGTCCATCCTGCGCGCCTAGTCGGTCACCGCCGACTTGTACAAGGACGACTGGGAGGCGTGCGGGGGGAAGGTGAAACTGCGCTTTGTGCGCAAGGACGTGCTCGATGCGCGCACCAAGCCCCGCTACCGCTCATTGCGGTGCGAGGAAAGCGTCTGGGGAGCATTGCTAACAACACTCGCTTCCGCATTTTCGCGACCGACACAACGCTCCGGGAGTTTGACACCTTGGTGGTTAACAGCGGGGCGCACCCAAGGCCGGCCGCGGAGTTTTGTCGGGAAATGGAGGCCTCCGCAAAAGCCCTCACGAGCTCGATGAAACGGCTACACGGGGAGGACAAAGCGATTCTGGTGGTTAGGAACACGGTCCCGGGGCACTGGGGCTGCACCGAGAGGTGGGAGCCGGAGGAAGAGGGTGCATGGTCTTGTGAACATCTATTTTTTTTCGGAGGCTCCGTCGTACGTACTGTGCCGCATGGGTGATCGTTTGAGAACACGGCACTCAATCCTTGCGCCGGAGGTTGACTACAGCAGGAATCACGAGGACTTGACATGGCGGATGAAGGGGCTTTGGTTGGTTGTCGATTTTTTTCATCGATTTGAAGAACGCGCGCTGGCAGAAGCATTGTTTTGGATTGCTTGTGTGCGAGAGCCGTGTGCGGTAGATTCCAATGCATGATGTGATGTTAGCCTTCCACCGCCGTCTTCTTGTTTGTCCCGGAGTCAGTCACACGCCCCCACCATTCTGACGGTTCCTTTGGTTCGAGTTCCTCCGGACGTGTCCGGTGGCAGTTCTACACCCCGTATTTCCTGGTGTTTCGTGTTAGCGACTTCCTCTCTCTTCTTACGCTTGAAGTATCTTTCGATTCTATTGTCATGATGTTGCAGGTGGCGTGGCTTCCAGAGTCAAACTGGCAGCCCTTCGCGTTCTCCTCTAGAGCAAACCATTTCGAGTAAATCACCACATGCGCTGAAACTTGTTCATGTCGTTTTCCGTGGTGTAAACCCTACACCCGCCGTTGCTTCCGCCCACCTTGCCCCGGTCGTACGTCGTCAATTACAACCAATGTGCATCGCCCACCGGTGTCCATTATGGGGGGTTTCAGAATGTTCGATGGCCCCGTCAATAAAATCATCGCCTCGAAGCTCGTCGCAGAGGCTCCCGGTTCGTACGAGTGGAATAGCTTCGAAAGCCGCAACGTCCAGCTGCAGAAGGCCTTTTCTCCGGACAGGGGTTGGAAACTACTCGACGCTTACTCGCCGACCCTTCTAAGGCCGGACTCCCATATCGCGAACAATGACTGCCTTCACTACTGCATGCCGGACCCTGCGGATCATTGGGCGCGTCTGCTGTGCAACATTCTGCTCGTGGCCAAAGACGACAGCGCGTAAGCGCTGCGGTACATCAGTCTGCTCGAAAAGGGAGAAATGTTCGGAGGGTAAGGAAGAGAAGAAGCGCGAGACGCTCGCCTACTCGTTCGACGCTTCTCCCGTGGCCAGACTTCATCGGTGTTTACGGGTGGCATCGCTTGACCATGGTACGGCGTGCTTGCACCGATCGTGCCACCTACGCATGTTTTCCGTTCCGCATGCTGCTAGCTGCTGCGTGACAGAGTGATGGAGGGAAAGGGCAGGAAAAGGTCCTCGGTTAAGGGAAGGAATGCGGTCGGAGTAGAACGAGCCCTTCACGAAAGTGACCTGGCGCCCCCAGTACGACACTCTTTACAGCAGCTGCCGCATGCGGTGTTCGGGCGCGAAGATGTAGGCAATCACCCGTGCCGCAACAATTTGTGCCCTGTCATTCAATGGGTGCTTAACAACGTACAGCCGAAAAGCGGTGAGCGGTGAGTGACCGAGGACCTGGCATGCAACGTTTCTCTGGCATCCAATGGGTTAGCGATATTTCGATTCCAACGCTTGGCGATGGACGCACTAGGGAGGTACTCGATAGGATTTTGAGGTAGGGAGGCGTTGGCCAACACGGAGGAGTCGCAGCTGAACAGACACTGTTGACAAGGCGACAATGACAAGTGTGGCAAGACTTGGTAGTGCCACAGCAGCTTCGTTATTCTGACAGCCCGTTTGTGTTTTGCCGCAGGACAAGGGAGGTAGAAAATCCCCCAAGCGTTGTTTTTGACAGAGGTACACGGCTATGTGTAGAAATATTCCCTCGACGGGGGTGATGCGCTTTCGAACGCACGTAGAAGCGCGAAAGCCGGTCCAGAAAATGTAATCGGCATGTTGCCGAGGATAGGAATTGTTGGTTTCTGCCCCAGTTACAGCGGAACGCATGGGAGGTATTTGCAAGGTCCCGAGACACGCGTTGCTTGGCTGGTGGACGCACCTGTATGATCTTGATTGTGTAACGATTTGCCTACGGCTATTCGTTCTCCGACATTGGGGTGGAAGATATCTTCCCCCGACACCAGTAAATGAGCGTTTTGGCTGCTTCTTGGAGAAGCACACTTTTCGTGCAGTTTCGTGAATGTCACTTGATCATTCCTTGTTCCGGAGGTTGTCAGCGTATCATCAACAGTTGCGCAATACGAGCGGCATTGGGCCTTCGATCGTTAATCTTATGCACGGGTGTCTTAAACGCGTTGTGTCAACCTCTGTTCAGCGTCGACTGCCTTGACGGTTTTTTGCAATCGCGTTGGGCGAAGGAAACCATGTGTTGCTGACTGAAACTTTCACACAACTTTCACACTTGCGTACGCCATCATCCTCCACGGCAAAAAGTTCCCGCCGGACTGGACCGCCGAAAAAAAAAGGGTGTACAGTAGAATATCTTGGATGTCAAGATTTAAATTTGTAGCTTCTAGCCGGAGCGGGTTCGATCTGTTGAAGACGTCCCTTTCACGATTTTGTTGCCGTTGGTCGGAACGGTGTGCAAGTGTTGAGACACAAGGGGTCATGTCACTTTGAGTACTGTAAGTGAATCGCCACATTAATGATGTGTGACATGTGGAGCTATTGCTGAATTTGCGAAAGAGCTCACGGCCCTGAGTCAGGCCGCAAATGCTGCACTCTTAGCTGTCGGGGATCCGGGCAACTGCGTACACTGATTGTCACCTTCTTGATAGGCGCACACGCAGTGGCATCACAAAAGGGCCAAACCACTCAAGACGGAGACTCAAGCGGGGGTGTTGCAGGCCCTCGGAAAAGACAGATGATGCGTAACCTGTACCAGTCAGGTACTGATGACCAGAGATTGGCACAGCTTGTTGTGAAAAGACAACAGCAGCAATGACGCCGCAAAGGCTACGAAGTAACCGATCGAGAATATGCCAGGAAAAAGACTGTGGCACAAATTTTCATTGTGACAATAATACGTCATTTTTATGTGAAGTCAACAACAAATGATATTTCGATCATGTCCCTTCCACAGAAGTATGTACGTGTGTTTCTTCTGGTCGCCGAGCAACGGGCAGCCAGTAGCGATACCCCCTGTGGGTAACGGGGTCAAACGGAAGGAGACTATTTAGCTGGCGGCACTTTGTAGCAGAGATGGTGTGTTATGGTGGCACCAGGTGTTGAATCAGGGAAAATACTTCTTCTGCGTTGTTTTGCGGTGGAGATTGTGTCATTAAAGAAGACAACAAGAAGAGGAAGGTTTGTTCGTCGAAGCAGATAGAATAAACTGGTGTTTATTTTGGAACAGTCGAATTAGAATTTGGCTTCATTTTCTACCGGAAACCCAGGGTCACGGTGTTTGGAATTATTAGTCTATAGTTGGGGGTGTCAGACAACAAGAAGAGGAAGGTTTGTTCGTCGAAGCAGATAGAATAAACTGGTGTTTATTTTGTAACAGTCGAATTAGAATTTGGCTTCATTTTCTACCGGAAACCCAGGGTCACGGTGTTTGGAATTATTAGTCTATAGTTGGGGGTGTCATTCCCAATACCATCCGTGGAGACGATTGCTTACGTGAGTGGGCAGGGTGCAGTAAGATAAGCGGCGGCAAGCCAACGCAGTCTCGCTCGCCGCGCCGCTCAGATAGGTCCCTTCCCAAACATGGGATGCGGTTCATCCCAACCGAGACGTACTCTCGCTGAAGAAAAAAAATGCGGTTCGTCCCAACCAGACGTACTCTCTCTGAAGAAAAAATTCAACGGCAAAAAGAAAGAGCGGGGCCTGTTGTATGGTCGCACGCTGACTTGTCGCGGTTGATAGCAGCCATTGTACTGCACGGGGTGGAGGAACCCTGCGGCATCGGACATAACCAATCGACCCGCGGCAGTAGGGCATGATGCTGTCACGATTATGCACATGAGGCAGGTGCCTTGTTTTCTGTTTCCCCCGGCTTACTAGGGACTACTTGCCGGTACAATCTTGTCTGTGCCGCGCACAGAGGGGCATATAGCTGAAGGAATCGAAAAGACTGAAAAACAATGAAGACGAGAAAAAAAAAACGAGACAGCGAACTACGTGCTGTATGCATAAGGAAAAAGAAGATGAGAAAAAAATAGGGGGGGGAGGTGGATGTGACACGCGAGGTTCGAACTCGCGAGGAACGTCAGGTAGCGGTCCATGTGAGTACATCACGGTCTCGAGGGGCATCACGTCAAATTTATTGCCGCCGTGACACAAACCTTCTATAAGAATACGTCACGTCCATCGACGATTAAGCGACCAAAAACGCCCGGACAGCAATTGATGCATGCCAAAAACTCGTCAACCTGCCGTAGGATTGTCTATGCGGAAGTGATCTCAATGAAAATAAAAAAAACAAGGACACGCACCAGCACGGGACGCGCCAATAGTGGAAGCACTCGTCCGTGCTGTTGGCGAGTGGAAGTTAACCGATCTCAACGCAACGAAACACGAAGTCATACATGTATCAGCACGGGATGCGCCAATGAGTGGAAGCACCCGCGCTGTTGGCGAGTAGAGTTAACCGAATTCAACGCAGCGGTAGAAAAATACCACAAATCATGCATCAGTACGGGACGCGCCAATGAGTGGAAGCACCCGTGCTGCATATGTGATGTCAGCCTCAGCACGGGACGCGCCAATGAGTGGAAGCACTCGTGCGGTTGGTGAGTAGAGTTAACCGATCTCAAAAAGAAAGAACAAAACGCCGTACATGTATCAGCACGGGACGCGCCAATGAGTGGAAGCACCCGCGCTGTTGGCGAGTAGAGTTAACCGAATTCAACGCAGCGGTAGAGAAATACCACAAGTCATGCATCAGTACGGGACGCGCCAATGAGTGGAAGCACCCGTGCTGCATATGTGATGTCAGCCTCAGCACGGGACGCGCCAATGAGTGGAAGCACTCGTGCTGTTGGTGAGTAGAGTTAACCGATCTCAAAAAGAAAGAACAAAACGCCGTACATGTATCAGCACGGGACGCGCCAATGAGTGGAAGCACCCGCGCTGTTGGCGAGTAGAGTTAACCGAATTCAACGCAGCGGTAGAAAAATACCACAAATCATGCATCAGTACGGGACGCGCCAATGAATGGAAGCACCCGTGCTGCATATGTGATGTCCGCCTCAGCACGGGACGCGCCAATGAGTGGAAGCACTCGTGCTGTTGGTGAGTAGAGTTAACCGATCTCAAAAAGAAAGAACAAAACGCCGTACACGTATCAGCACGGGACGCGCCAATGAGTGGAAGCACCCGCGCTGTTGGCGAGTAGAGTTAACCGAATTCAACGCAGCGGTAGGAAATACCACAAATCATGCATCAGTACGGGACGCGCCAATGAGTGGAAGCACCCGTGCTGCATATGTGATGTCAGCCTCAGCACGGGACGCGCCAACGAGTGGAAGCACTCGTGCTGTTGGCGAGTAGAGTTAACCGATCTCAAAAAGAAAGAACAAAACGCCGTACACGTATCAGCACGGGACGCACCAATGAGTGGGCGCACCCGCGCTGTTGGCGAGTAGAGTTAACCGAATTCAACGCAGCGGTAGGAAATACCACAAATCATGCATCAGTACGGGACGCGCCAATGAGTGGAAGCACCCGTGCTGTATATGTGTTGTCAGCCTCAGCACGGGACGCGCCAACGAGTGGAAGCACTCGTGCTGTTGGCGAGTAGAGTTAACCGATCTCAAAAAGAAAGAACAAAACGCCGTACACGTATTAGCACGGGACGCGCCAATGAGTGGACGCACCCGTGCTGTTGGCGAGTAGAGTTAACCGAATTCAACGCATCGAAAACGAAGTCGTACACGTATCAGTACGGGACGCGCCAATGAGTGGAAGCACCCGTGCTGCATATGTGTTGTCAGTTTCAGCAAGGGACGCGCCAATGAGTGCTGTTGGCGAGTAGAGTTAACCGATCTCAAAAAGAAAGAACAAAAACGCCGTACACGTATCAGTACGGGACGCGCCAATGAGTGGGCGCACCCGTGCTGTTGGGCGAGTAGAATTAACCGATCTCCACGCATCGAAAACGAAGTCATACACGTATCAGTACGGGACGCGCCAATGAGTGGAAGCACCCGTGCTCATATGTGTTGTCAGTTTCAGCAAGGGACGCGCCAATGAGTGGAAGCACCCGCGCTGCGTACAAGTATCATCAGTGCGGGTCGCGCCAATGAGTGGAAGCACCCGTGCTGCATATGTGTTGTCAGTTTCAGCGAGGGACGCGCCAATGAGTGGAAGCACCCGCGCTGTTGGCAAGTGGAGTTCACCGTATCCAACGCATCGAAAAAAAAAAAAAAACACGTATCAGCACGGGACGCGCCAATGAGTGGAAGCACCCGTGCCGATGGCGAACCGGGGTTCACCGAATCCAAGAAAATATATATATAAAAAAAAAAAAAAGAGAAACCATCGCTAGTGTTCCAAAGAGAGAAATATTCGGGATTGGTCGACGTCCGGTGACCGTAGCGTCAGCAGCAATAATCACTCCATTCAATCCACAGGCGTCGAGAATGAACTAACGCGAGCTCGCGATATAACAACGCGTCGTTCTGGGCCCGACGAAAACCCACGTCAGATAGTTTCGCCCGAAGATAGGATTTGTAGACCATTCTAACTGCAGATCCAGGCGCGCGATCGACTACGCCCACGATGAAGAGGAAAAGAAGTGTTCCCGCAACGCCGCCCTGACGCTCGCCCGCCGCCTGCCGCCGGTCCGCTGCTTATACGACTCCAACCGCGACCAGATGCCGACACGGGCCTCCACGCGGAGCGGCAGGGCAGCGGCTGGGCAAGCAGGGCGAGGTCGGGCGGCGACACCTTCGACACCACGCACGAGAGGTCTACCGCGCGATCGGTGGCGAGCTCGACGGCTCGCCCCTCGACGCGCAGCGGATCACGTACTCCCGCGAGGCGTCGAGCGGTATCCTCCTCGCGAGCGCCAGGGACAGGCACCCGCGGCGACCCCCCCGCTGATGAGACTGAGCTCGCTTCTCTCCGCGGGCTGGTGGACGGCCTGAGGGAGGAGCTGCAGCGGAAGCGCGATGAGGCTGCCGGTGATCGCCAGCAGCTTCAAGCAACGATCGACGACCTGATCGCCACCCAAGCAGCAGGACCTGGCCTTCCGGGGGGGGGTGCAACTTGTGGGCACAACCGCCCCACCATCGGCCTCTCGGGCCCCCGCTACACCCAGCGCCGAGGCGGCTAAGGCTACGGCAAAGGATAGAGCGCGGATGTGGGGGGACCTCCGCCGGGTAAAAGCGTGGCTCATCCTGGGGCGGCCCCCGGCAGTTTCAAAACTGTCGCAGATGGAGTGGCAATCCTTGCTTCGCAAAGGCGTCCTGGTGACAGAGAAAGTGGCGGCATCGCTCGACACGCTCGTGGTTACTGCTTCGCCTTCAACTCGTCGTCCGGTTGCCATGATCGTAACTGCCCACACATCCACGCCCAGAACCCTTCCCACGCTAGGCGCGGAGCGTCCGAAACTCCGGCAACCGGCGCGCGCGGCGTTGGCCACGGCAACGGGGGAGGGCGCGGAGGAGAGGCGCGCGCCGCTGGCGAGGGCGGCGCGAGACCCAAGGCCGCTGGCTTCTTCACCCACGGGAAAGACAAATAGGGGTGCGGGCTCTCCCGCGTAGCGGGGGGGCCTACCTCGGATGGCAGCGCACCTGCGGCTAAATCGAACGGCAGCACGCCGGTCTACACGAGGTTGGCTCCAGGGCTATCAGCAGGTTCAGGACCTGGGACAGGCAGGACGGGACTTTGTTACCGACGTCTTGGCATGCAGCTCGTCGAGCACTCAGTTGCGTCTTCGTCTAGAAGGACTTACACGTCAGGCTTCAACTCTTGGTGCACGTTTCGCAGGCTGACGGAGAAGCCCAAGTTCCTAGGGCAACGTGCCGGGGACCTTCATGTGTGGGAGTTGATAGACTTCGTAGCCTGGTGTTTCGAGTCTGAGGGTAATCTAGCGAGTACAATATCCGGAAAACTCACGGCTGTACAACATTTTCATAGGCTGGAAGCTTCTGTCGAGCTAGACTTGTCGTCTCCGATGTTGAAATGTGCGCTAAGGGGGATTGCGAGGAACCACGTGGCTGTGGGGACGGTACGCCGTGTGCGCCTGCCTGTGTCTTGGCGTATGCTGCTGGACGGGGAAAGCGCAAGCCAGAACTGGGGGGAAGGGGGCAGAGTGATGTGGCTGTGTCTGTGCTTGTCCTATCTCTTTATCACACGGTCTGATGAGGTGTTCGCGAATGATGCGGGCAGGGTGCATGAGGCACACTGTCTTACGAGGGCGGACGTAGCATTGTTTGCTGGCGAGACGCAATTAGTCTTTAGTCACTATCGTAGAGCAGACCGTGTCGAAATGAGGTTTAGAGGGCACAAGGCCGATCAAGAGCAGAAAGGAAACATACGGGTTCGTACGCGAGACGAAGTCACCGGACCGAAGTCAGGTGTGAGAGCACGCGGTGGCGCGGTGGCTCTTGTGGTGGAGCTGTTATCGTGTCATGCGACGTTCCCTGACTCCGCACCGTTGGCTTCGTACCGTAGTGGAAGAGCAGTGAGAGTAGTGAGGTATACTGCTGCCCTCCGTGCACTCAGAGAAGTGGTATAGCGAGGTCGGGGCGTAACCCCCAGGAGTACGCGTTGCACTCGTTGCGAATTGGAGGCGCGACGGCTCTTGCATCGGGCGGAGACATCGCAGAACGAGTGATTCAGAGAGAAGGGAAGTGGAGGTCGGATGCATACAAGCCGTACGCGCGAAACAATGTAGAGGATTCGCGGCGAGTGTCACGGAAACTTACAGACGGCAGTAGGATCGTATCGAGACAGCCGGGGGAGGGGACCGTCTGGGGGAACGGATAGTTGACTTATTCGGTAGTCGTCCAGAAACTGACCTCGATGTGGGTGTTGTAGAATGGTGTGTACCATTTGAGGACTTGGTCAGTTTTGGGACTCCTGCGTTTGCAGTCGTAGTCCCCCGGCTAGTATTTGTGGGGAGAGAGATGGATTTGTAAGAGTTGACGCCGGCCTTTGCAGCTAACGCGGCCGGAGAGACGATGAGCGTTTCGTGCGTCTCTCTCCCCAACACGTAGCCTAGAAACCGAAGAAATAATGAAGCAATTCGAAAGAAAACAAAATAAAAGGAAGGTTTGTTCGTCGAAGCAGATAGAATAAACTGGTGTTTATTTTGTAACAGTCGAATTAGAATTTGGCTTCATTTTCTACCGGAAACCCAGGGTCACGGTGTTTGGAATTATTAGTCTATAGTTGGGGGTGTCATTCCGTGATCGAGTCCACGCAGGGGCTGTAGCAAAGTCGGGTAACGTGTGACAGCTACAGAGCGCGTGAAGCAACGGAAGGACAGCAGCAGCCGCCTAACGCAGTAGCGGCGGCAGTTTAGAAAATCCCGCCCTCCCATCCCTTTTCTTTCGAAGGTGGGGGCATAAGTTCGGGAATATTCGGTATCTAGTCAGGTGTTGTAGAATGGTGTGTACCATTTGAGGACTTGGTCAGTTTTGGGACTCCTGCGTTTGCAGTCGTAGTCCCCCGGCTAGTATTTGTGGGGAGAGAGATGGATTTGTAAGAGTTGACGCCGGCCTTTGCAGCTAACGCGGCCGGAGAGACGATGAGCGTTTCGTGCGTCTCTCTCCCCAACACGTAGCCTAGAAACCGAAGAAATAATGAAGCAATTCGAAAGAAAACAAAATAAACTCACATCTTGCTTTCGACAGTCCGCGGCGGAAATGGTTACGGTTCAGTTTCCAGCGGTTTCCATCTGCTATATTTCCATCCGCTTCGTTCCGTCCTCGAAGCGCGTGATATCGCCGAAGCCGCACTCACGGTGAGACGGGCAGCTGAGTGACACCTGAGTTTTTTTCCTTGTATCAACCGCCGTAAGCCGCTGACCAATGAAGAGGCACGCGTGCGGGTTTCCCCTATGGTCACACATGCAACAGTGATCTTCGCGTACCCGCCGTCCTCCGCAGTGTAGGCTACGCATAAAACCCCTAGAGAAAGTATCAATACTCCGCGTATTGATTAGAGGTGGTCAGAGCTACAAAGACATCAGCAGCGCAAAGGAGAAACCACATGATGAGAGTTCAGCGAGACCAGCGCAAGTCCTCGCCCACTTTACGTCATCAGCCGCGTGAACGTGAGCCCGAAACGGGTGAACACAAAGCCGACGAGTGCCGCACCAGGGGAGTGATGCGTACACATACTAACCTCGAAAAGGTATCGGCGGCGACGAACGAAGCAGAGGCGAAGGCTGGAAGCAGAAGGGCCCTGACTTCCCACAGCCTGGTCCACTCGCGAGATACACGAATGCCGCCGGCCTCTTCAGGATTTGAATCCGACTGCATGCACACAGCGAGGGGAGCGGAGTCAGACACGATGATGACGGCCAGGGATATGCACACCTCGAGAACGGACGACTACCTGTCGGCCGTCGAGCCCAACACATGCCGGAGTACGGGCACTCTCTTTGAGGTACTGGAAATTCCATGTTCATTTACTTCCTGATACTACTCGAATAATGTGATGCGGCTGTGGTTCGACGAAGTGTCCGGGATGTCAGGTTTTTCGATGAGGCGACGTTGTGCGAAGGAAGAAAAACGCCGCACATCGTGTATGTATTGTAGACTGCAGCAGCAGTACATTGAGGAAGGGTGTCCTCGATGCTCATACATATTGTACAGAACATCCAAATGAACGCACATTTCACGACTACAAATATCAATCCTGAAGGCTCAAACTCGACATAGGCCCTACAACCCGTTTCTGGGCGCCATTTATGAAACTGTTCATCGCCTCGCCTACGACTACTTCAGGACGGCGATCTGGCGCGTCCGAGCAGTGCCCCAGCCTACGACCTCCCTGCGTACCAGTTCGACGGGCGCACCGCCCTCATGTTTGGTGAACAATCCAGCCGAGGGGTGAATGAGTGCAATCGTGAAATAACCCGTAGCTTGCAGAGGTATGACGGTGGGAGCCGTGGCCACGGCCGCGGCGGCCAACCTTCGTACGAAGGGCCTCCAACGGGTACGAAACAAGACGCATTCAACGGGCCGTTTGGGCGTGAAGGACGCATTAGCCGCAACAGCAGCACGACCAAACCTTTGGTTGGGAGGTCGAAGCGCTTCGATAAACCATCGTGGACTCGCGGCGAGCAGCAACTGCCGGGGCGGGGCCAGGTACAACTTCAAGAGTTTTTCCCGCGTGTTGTGTTGAGCAAGATGCGGGACCTTGTGTCCGAGTTCTTTCACTACACCCACGGTACCCGAACACACCCCAAGGTTTCATCCGGGCGCTTGCACAGCGCCTCGAGATGCGAACAGTTTGTTGTTTGGCGACGAATCAATCAATAGTGGCGGTTCTACGAGGGCGTGTTCATCCGTCGGATATACTCCTCTCGGGTTTACTGCGTCGGTCGTTTGAATGTATGGTGAACGCCAGAATCATCGAAACCCTGCGGCCGTGTTGGGTGGATTGGTTGGTGGCGGAAATGCGGCAGGTGGGAGCAGCGAGTAGAACAAACGTAGGTGGCGGTGATACTGCTGCTCCGCCGGGAGGCTTCCGACAAAGCATCGTGGAAGACGTGTTCAGCTATGCTAGGCACAACCGTGTCCTGGACCTCGAGAGGATGATGGATCAGTGAGTCGGTGATGTTCCGGTTTTCGTCCGTCATGGTTTGAATTGTAAAGCGTTTCTCGCGCCGTACTGAGACTAGTTCGGTGGAACAGAAAAGCGACAATTTTCCCGTTTTTCGGAGGGGTTCACCGAAAAACCTCCCCGCGTGCGTGACATGCATCTGTGTACCTGTATATTGCCAGTACATTTGTTGATGGTAGCAGACTGTCGGCCTACCTCAGCAAAAGATCTACAGTAACTGCGCTACGATCGTGGCCCTCTCATAGATGAGCTCCGATTCGGGCTCCCACAGGATTATTCTTGGGGTGCATGGCTTCCTCATTAACGCGAGAGGGGTCAGCGGTGCCGTCCTCATGTATGTGCACGGACCTACGTACCTACGCACGATAGTACCCTGAACGAATGCGGAAAAGTGAACCTCGCCGGGATTTGAACCTTCACCATAGAGCAGAAAATACTTCGTTGATCTCGATTGGAGCGGCGGGCTCATCTCTTTGCGGCGTATTGTGCTCTGTCTAGTGCGTCTGCATGTGTACGCGAAACGCCGTTAACAATTGTTTTGTCCAAGTGTTAGTAGATCAGTTCCGTGTTGATTTTCTTTGTTGCACTGTTCGCTGAATTTGGTTCCTCGCCTCGCAAATACGAAGGAGGTGATACCTGTTGAGGAGTGTTGCTTTGGGTGTACATTATGGAGGATAGATGGTGGGATGGCCAGGAGGTATACCTATATTCCCATCAGAATTGTCTTCTCTGTGTGCCCCCTGCTGAAATTGGATCCCTACCTCGGCTCAGACCTTCTCTCAGCAACAAGAATATTTTCCATTTCTACACGATCGTGAAGCAAGAGCGTCAGGTGACATTTTCCTGTTCCCTGAGGAAGCTACTACCTACGGCTTGCAGTAAGGTGACAGCGAGAAACAGCGGCACCGCTGCAAACCAATTCCCGGCAACAAGATCGGTCGTTGGATGCGCAAAACTCTAAATCAAACGCGTTTTCAATTACACATCTCTCGTCCGTACGAAACAGGGGCGTCCCGGCTGATGTGCGGGACAGCCACGGCAACACCATTCTGATTGTGGCATGTCAAAACGGGCACAAGCGGGCGTTGAAGGCAGCCTTGCGTCATGGGGCTGATCCAGATGCTAGCAATGCCCGGGGAAACACGGCCCTCCACTATTGCTACGCGTTTGGTGGGTGACGTGTTGTTGATTTGCAGGGAAAACACGGTACTCTTTTGCCGTAGCAATCGGCGGTGCGTGGCTGGGTCTAGAGTCCGACGAACGTTAAGAAGCGAAGCTGCAAACTATGATCGGCCACACTACTGTATGCACGTCGTTCCATTGTGGTAAGAACTGTTCGGGCGAAGCATCTGTTCGCTCCAAACACTCGCCAACCGGTACTCTCTTGTGTTCATTTTGTACTGCGTGATGGTACAGGTTATGGGGGCACCCTGGGGCGATACCTGATGGACAAAGGGGCAGATTCTTCGATCAGGAACCGGAGCGGTTTGGTGGGTGCTCATTGTGCAGAAGGGCATGCCAGTCGCGCTAACCGCTTGTTTATTTTTCTTCGAAACCTTTCATGCGGGAGGGTCACACCGGATATACGGGAATAAATGGAGGAGTAGGGGATAAGGGGTTCGGTGGTGCAAGAACCGAGGAAAAAACAACTGTGTTCAAGAGTGAATCCAGCCTCGTCAAGTGTTGAGCGGTTCTCAAATAGATGGTGGTGCCAGCTCAGGTGGACGTTGTCAGGCGAGGTTTTGTTGGGGAGTAAGCATGAGTCAGTTCAGGTATTCCATTGTGCATCAAGGTGAGGCCAAGACGGCCTCGTTGAAATTTCATCTTTCTACCGCGCGTTGTGGTAGAGCAGTATACTAGGGGATAGCCTCCGTAACTTGCATGCAAGCGAATTCTCTCGCCATCATTCTATGTTGAATCTCCACCCCGGCTGTGCTCCCAATGTTCCGGTTGCGTTCTACCTCCGCTGGTACCCTTCACCATGACGCTGCCCGCATATGAACCACCCACCCACCCAGACGAAACATTGTTTGGGCACCTCGCAAGGCTTGCCAACCACGTGAACCCTCTCTGCTAGCCCATGTGTCTGATTGTGCCGCGCCGGCTCGTGGATAAGGAGATTCTTCGCGGTGTCCCCAGACAGGGCGTCATCTCAGAGCAAGCTACCCGCCCATATGTTAGTCTCACAAACCTACGACATCATTTCAGCCTATGCTGGCCAGTACAAGTTGTGGTTCATACTCACGAAAGGTTTCGAACTGCCATACACACCGGTGCAACAGGTGTGTTACGAAGGCATTGGCCGGTAGGGGCAGAGAGGTGTTCTACCATGCCCGGAATGTATTCGACAATGAAGTCGACCGGAAAATATTGTCTGCCGAATTACATGGACGCCACGGTTTAGCAGGGAAGTGAGCCGGCGAACCTGTCTCTCATGGGCACGTGAGAGGTTACTGGCTGAATGGGATGGAACACGTTTGATCATTACCTGCTTCAACAGGCCGATTCCAAACGGCTGCTGAACCCCAACCGTTGCGTTATGATATTGCGTCATGTATTAGTGCACTCTATGAGCAATGCCAAACGGTGGCAACTCGATATGGAGAATGTGGTTGTAGACAACCAGGGGCCACGCGGTCGACGTACAACATAACGTGCAAGAAGCTGGCCGGCAGGACCGACAGTATTGTGGATTTTGGTTTGGGTTCAGCTTCCAAGTTGGAGGGAAGCGCTGTACTGTGCTCCCTGACCTTGGTCCCTAATGGTATTTCGGTGCTGTCCTGATTGTTGTCTCAATTGTTTTTTGGTTGCTTCAACGTCAACGAAAAGATCATGGATGGGACTGCATATATTGGTAAATAGGCCGTGCAAAGTGCCGTTTCTTCTTGGATTGTTTTTCTCTGTCTCTCTGACGGGGGGTGGCCGGCAAGGGAAACATTATTCACATCTAAACGGCCGTCTTTACGATTCCTTCTTTTGGAGATATTTTTCCCCAACAAAATGTCTATGGCCAACAAAAAATGATTGCGGTTCCCGGGGCATATGTTTTCCCCGGCGGAAAAGAAAGATCAAATCAAGTTTTCGTGGCTCACAACATGCTTTAGTTCACGTTCGTGTGCGACCAACAAGACACTGAGCGCCTGGTTTTCGGTCGCCTGCAGAGGGCATGTGTATGATCGCATGCCATTGACTGCAGTTTGTGGATGTCTTACCTACGACCTCTGTCTGCGGAATGCAATGGGGACTGATCACACCGGAGCAACCAAGTTATTCCACCGGTGGAGTAAATAGCATCGCCGCAAAACAAAAGGCTACGTCCAAAACATTCAACACCGAGACACACTTCGGTTCACGTTTGCAGGCCGTGTGCAATCAACTGAACGGAACAAGAAAAAATGTCTAAAAAGTCAAAACCGAAAAACACTTGTTTCGCGTTTGTAGGCCGTGTACATCCAAACTGAACAAGACGACCTGTCTCTAGGACGTGAGCAGAGGGTAGGTGCGTGACCACGCCCTTGGCTGCAGTTTGTGGATGTCGTCGGCCTAAAACCTCTCTCTGACGTGCGTGTTTGACTGGTCACACATGCAGCAGGCACTAAAACGGCTCATTTCGGCCGAAAGTCAAGAAGGTCAGCCAGCAGAGAAATGTGGCAGGGTTGATGTTGTGGGCTCGTGTGCGGCCAACAGGATGCAGTACGCCCTGAATTTTTAGTACCTGCACGGGGTTTATGCATGACCTCACGATACTGGCCTCTGTTTGGGCAGCAGGCGGTGTAGTTCCGAGTTCTGGCTCGATCGGGGTGTAACCCACCCCCGTTTCCGGGCTGGCAAATATCAGCCGATCCAGTCAGAACATGTGCCAATTTTTTTACTCGCATGATGGAATCCTACAGTAGGAAAAAATCGGCAAGTGAGAATTTGGGCTCCGGGAACTTCTACCATTTTCCTCCGCGTGAGAAGCCCAGATTCGTTTTGGGGAATAAGAAAAGGACCCCCCAAAGAACCAAATCCCGACAAAACCGGTGCTGTAAATATAAAGACACAGTGTATTCGTGCTTTCTTTCGAATTGTTTCATCATTTATTCGGTTTCTAGGCGACGTTTTGGGGAGAGAGACACACCTAACGCCGACCGTCTCTCCATCGTGTTGGCTGCGAGGAACGGCGTCAACTCTTACAGAACCGTTTCTCTCCCCACAAAAGCCGGGGGACTACGACTGCAAGCGCAGGAGTTCCGAAACTGTCCAAGTCCTCAAATGGTACACATCGTTCTGCAACATCCGACTAGATACCGAATACCCCCGAACTTGTTCCCCCACCTTCGAAAGAAAAGGGATGGGGGGGCGGGAATTTTCTAACTGCCGCCACTGCTTTGGGTGGCCGCTGGTTTCCTTCCGTTTCTTCACGCGCTCTGTAGCTCCGTCACGCTACCTCAATCAACTAGCTACCAGCGCGTTCATGCGCGGAGTGGCAGCGAAGACAATCTTTTCTGACGTGACCCAAGCTTTCCGACAGATGATGAAGCCAATGTAGTTCGACCGTTACAATAATAAACCCCAACTGTATATTCGTTCTGCTCGACAAACAAAGAAGAGTTTTGTAGCTTGAAAGCTAGCACAGAAAGGTTTCAATCAGAAGAGTCATCAGGTGCCACCGTCAATAAAATTGGACTTGTGCAAATAGTGTCGCTAGTTGGTACTCGAAGCGATCGGCTTCGGTTGAGTGCTTCCTTATCGTGTGGTTTCTTGGGTTGCGTAGTCTAGTTTCTGTCCGTGAGTGTGGACTGGTGGTTGGGCAATCGTTCATCCAGCAGAAGCCTAGGCGTTTGTTGGAATTATCCCGGGACTGTCTTATCCCGTCCCAGAAAATTTCACTTGAGATAGGGAAATCTCGCATCGCAAACTGCCGAAAGGACTGCAAGAACTCCCGATTCACCTGCATGGCAGGTTCAGACGTACGTCCCGCCGCGTATGCACATACGTCCCGCAGCGTATGCACACAAGTACGGGAGTGTCCCATATTTCTATCGCTTGGGATAGGCAGATCATGGTTGGCGATATTCTGACTGACACCACTCCGTAAAGAAAACTGAGTGCGATAGGCACATAATTCCGACGCCACACCATCTATGTTTGGCATTGCCCCGGCGGAATAAAATCACGATTCAAAATCGTCCCCATTTACTCGAAATCAGAGAGTCTGTCTTCGTGGAAAGGAGGGGCTTGAATGTTTGCCAAACAGGGGAAACTTCGAACCCTCGTTGTTAGCATACGAACGATTCACGTATTTCTTTACTTCGCCTGGCAAAGGGTCTAGGTTCAGGTAGTTTTCCGGGCCCTGCTGCGACAATGAAAATGGAGCGCATCACCTTGATGAACAATTGAACATCGATTATTCCGCAGTCGAGAGGGTGCAAAACGCGACCGACACATGCAAGGAAAGCTCTCAACGTAATATTTGTACACCCTCCCTTGTCGACGTCGGTAACCTCGTCCAGTCGAAATTAAGCATTCAACACTCCTTCGCGTTCGCCTGCACGTTTTCGGTGCTGCACTTGAAGGAAGGCGGGACCTCGGCACAATTGGGGCCAGAGCTCAGCAGGTAAACGATTTGTAACTACCCGGCCAGTTACCCCCGCACCACAAGCCATGACCCAGCCGGGCCGGCCAGATATCTTGTGCTCCAAACCAAACCCGACAACACTTGGCTGGGGTGCGACCCGCGTTCCCCCCCCCCTACAGAATCGGTGGAAAGCTGATGAGCGGAGAAACGAATGGGTTTCAAACCTTCATGCTTCTCAAATCGAGGGACGGGTTCGCATTATGCCCGCAAGAACCAAAATAACATCGATTGAAAAATTGTGTTCAGAAGGGATTGATCGCCGCACCAGCAGCTACGAAGGCAGCAAACGCCGCTACGGCCAGCACCGTATCCGTCACAATCTTGGAAGGAGTGCGTACCCGGTCCGAGGACATCATCTCATCCTCTGGGCGAACAGAAGGCAGTAGTGCCAGCCACGCTCTGTACCGCTCGTCGACATTGTGGTAGGCTGCTCCGTCTTGGAGCAGGGAAAGATACCTGGCTTGCGTTTGCGACAGTTTAAACGAGCTGCGACATTGAGTAAGAATGGCACCCTGCCATTCTTTGAGGCTAGCCTCGGGATCGTGTTTCCCATGCCACCGAGGAGGGCATGGACGTACATGACGGCGGCAAAATGGAATTGGAATATTAGCGGATTCTCAATTGTTTCCCCAGCACGACATTGACCGGTCATTTGCTGCAAACAGCGCGTGATCGGCGTCGCTTGCTGTATGTAGAATATCCTAATCCACAGGTCGAGTCAAGTGCCGGACAAGTTGCATCGAAATCTGCAGCAGCACTGAAAAGAACTGGGACGGAACCAATCATGCATCTTTTCGCAACATGGTATCTCGCCTATGCCATGAAATACCTGGATGTTGGCGGGACGCTTGTGGGAAGTGTTTGCCACGGGTTCGAGACAAAACAGACGGCGATGTCCCTGTCCCCCGTGGGTGTTGCCACATCAACCTTCCAGGGACAAAGAGTAGAGTGTGTATGGCCAGTGTTTGAGCTACCGGTAGGATTGCAAGCAGGATTGGAGTCAGGTTCGAATTTGATTTGCTATGGTGCGGAGTTTCAGGGTTGAGAGAAGGTGGATCCTTCGGAGTATCTCAAGCGCGAAGCATATTCTCCAAGAAGGGTGGGGAAGAAAGAAGGGTGCAGACGAACTTAAGCTGCGAAATGAACGATGTCATTGTGGACTAAGATCGCTTGAGGAACAACAAGGACAAGTTGGTGGGGTTTCAAACTGGGCAAGGATCAGATACTCCGATGTGATGTGATGAGTCTGGCACCAGGATTGAACGTCTGGAACGTCAACGGCGTTCCTTTGCCAGCCCTGTAGACGATTGAACACACGCAGCCCGAAAACTACGTAGCCAAAGTGAAGCCGACCATTTCGGCGTCTCACCAAACGTTTTTCGTAGCCATTTTCTGACGCTGCTATCTTCTCCAAGCTGGATGGCGAGATGACGTGCAACACACCGTGCGCACCTGGCGATTTCTCCCACGACTGTGGAGGGCCAGGGTTTCGTGCGAGTGTTGCGTAACCTGCGATTTGATTGAGCAAGAGCACCACGTTGCAAAGCAGTAGCTGGAAGGGTGTGCCGGGGATAGGCAATTCACGAACCTGAGCATGGGGCCAAATCGAACATAGAGAAAAAGCCTACACAGAGAGACGATTGCTGAGAATAGAGCCCCTTGACAAGCTCTTCTCCCTGCATTGCCTAGTTAGGAGTTAACCATCGATTGCTTCGCAGGGCTACCAACGAAAAAGTCAGTGTGTAAGGAGCGGGAAGGGCTGGCACGACTCTTCATCGGACATTCCATCCATTGACCGGTGACAACCATGCCTCTCTTACGCACGACAACACCGCAAGGCTGTAGGTGTAGGAGACGATTGTTGTGAATGCAATCGTCTACACGCTAAAGTAGATCGCGTAGGTGGATTGAGGATACCCGCATGTACTGTTGAAACTGCACTGGGCCGCTGCTCCTGCTGTCTTGCAGATTTGGTTGGCGTGCAGGGTAAAACGCTATGGGTGTTCGTTTGAAAATACGGACCGCATGGGATCAGCAACTTTCGGGGATGGCTCTCCCTCACCATTTTCACCGCCGGGAACGATCTGCTTCTGCTATTATTGTCTTACCGGCGCGATGGCAGAAGCACACGCACATCCCTCTCGATTTCTGCGTGTCTGTCTTGTCTCGACGGGTGACTCCGCCCGCTCCATCAGTAGCGCTCGGGTTTCGTCTTGTACCGGTGGAGAATTGTGTCGCCTCTGCAGGTAGCGATGCGAAGGGATTCACGCCTCTCTTGCTCGTTAGAATCGAAGGGCACATGTTGGCCCCGAACGAAAAGTAGAGGAGGGCAGCGTCGCAGTCTTCGCTACGCCCCCTGTCGTTTCTGATGCTTTCCTTCAGAGGACCCAGAATACCTCCCGATCGACTTGATTCTGTTGGCGCTGCTTTGATCGCCGCGGAGGCTTTCGCGACATCGGCGCCCATCGTCATCGCCGTGGATGGGGCTGCTTTCAGCGTTTCGTCTCGGCCACCGACCGACATTAGTTGCAGGATGCTTGGCAGGTGGAAGGCTTGCTGATGGTGGCAGGCTTGCTGATGCACTCCGCCGAGTCTGTGCCAACAGCATCGCCGTGTTGCTGCTGCATGTACGAAAGCCTCGATGCGATGCCCGCTATGAGCAGCGTGATAGAGCAGTGCCAGTATGGGCGCCCGGCGGCTTGTCAAGGGCATTGCAGGTGGGGCAGTGGGACAGCCCTGTTCTGCGGCAGCTGAAAGCGATCGAGCGATCGAGAGTCGAGCGGCGCACTACATTACTGCTGTAATGCACCGAGAGCAGCATGATGGTTCTTTGGTTCCCGCAATGGCTGGTTCGCTGGTTTGGCTGGTTTTCGGTTCTCGAGGCGCGGGCGGTGAAATCGGTGCCGATTGGAATCCGAAGATTCCCCGCTCCCCGCTCCCTGCACCTGTAGTGTTTGGCCTAGTGTTTTTATGTCTATTGTACTAGTGTACGTAGTCAGTTGGTCACGCAGTCACCCCCACGCGATGGCACCAACCAGAGGGCAACCGTGGGCAGTCGATGCGGGATTCAGGGATCTGATTTGAAGGGCATACGGATTTTAGCCTTGCTGCCAGTCGCCTCAGGCAGGGTAGAAGATGCTTGAGTTGCACGAACGGCTCCGTGCGACCACTGCTGTAGACTACAGCGGTCTACTGCTTGTAGCTGGTTGATATCCCGGCCCACGAGATGGATACAGCTAGAGATCGGCGGAGCGGCCATGCCATTCAAGTGGACATCCAGCCAGACGAACCGCGACCAAGATCGAGAGCCAAAGGCAGAGCCCACCCAAAAACGCAAGAAGAGAGGCCTGGCTCGAAGGCCGAGGCAAGGGCTACCGAGCAGAAAAAAGTCGCTGTTCGAAGACAAGTAAGTGAGACTGCGGACTACGCCGGCGCATACCCTTACAATATATATTTGTGCAGCCGTATCATATATAGTGAAGTACAATTTACCACCTCGTCTGCAGAATATAGTGTTTGCTCTCACCCGTGGGACGTTCGACAATGCGGTCAGGGCGACACGGCAGTGAACGCACGAACTGAGCTACAAGTAGCACTCACGATACGCAAGTTGTGGAGCCAGCCGGCAAATTTTGAATTTACCGGGAGAGAGGTTTTGGAGTATTATGACGGGGGCGAAGCCCCCTAGTATGTGAAACCCATCTTGCGGGCCGCACGCTTTCAAAATGTTGCACCTCTAGACTATGAATCAATGAAGGAGGCACCAGAGCAAAGGTGTCGTCCCCGCGTTTTGCAAAGAAATCATCGTCCAGATTTACTGCAATGCGGATTGATATACCAACCTGTCGGGATCGATGATTATGGTGATTCCTTTGGGGCGTTCATTACAAATAACCTTCAGATGGATTCAAGAGAGCGAAAATCAACGCAGGGAGAGTAGAGGTGCCAGAACATCATCATGACGTTACTTGAAGTGCTCTGGCGAGAGGACGGGCGTGCAGGCTATATAAATACATCCATGGATCCCTGGATGTGGGTACTGCTGTCGTGCAGTAGCTCGACATATGCAAGAAATCGCGTGTGCGTGTGTGTGCGATTTCGCTCTCCTCGCTGTAGCTCTTTTGGGTGCTGCTGCGTCCTCGTCATCGACACTCAATGCGGATTAACGTTGCGAAACTTTGTGCGCAAGAGACCAGAGTGGTCTCTGCTGATTCTATTTTGCTGTGAGCGTGTGGTATGCGCCAGTTTCGGCGCCCAGGCTCCCGCCTGGTGTGTGTCGGTCTCTGAACTGGTTAGTTACAATAGTTCGAATAGCGCAAAAGCGGCGTAATTGCCAATATTATTCGAAAATAGACAAGACGCCAAGTAAGCGCCAATTTAAATGGAGACAGCTGATTGGCGGACGCCAAATGAAATCTGTCTCGGTGGCTTTTTTTTTGCCAGCCAGATTGGCGGAATACTGTATTGCGCATTTCATTTTTGTTCCTCTCGCCCGACAAGTCGAGAAACAGACCTTTCGTTAGTTTATCTTTCTCCCTCGTTCATACTGCGATGAAAAATGGCTTGATCAATATCTGTTCTCAGAACTTGAAGCAACACCTCACAATAATGAGAGTTTGACTAGTCTCTTCCAAGCCTGTCAAAGTCCACCCTCGTTGAAACTATCACTCAAAAACAACATTTTTCATAGATTGGACAACGGCACTGAAACTCACGCAGACGTCACACACGTGAAACAGCACAGCGCTCTCCGAACACAATCTTAGTCGGTACTCGACCACCCAGCTACCGGTGCTGGCGGCTCCGGTACCGGCGATTAGACCCGCTGTCCTCTTGAGTGTGGGCGTGTGGGCGTGTGGGCGTGTGGGCGTGTGGGCGCTGCGCACAAGGGTATTTGCCCGTTGGTGTTTGTGGAGTCTCTTGCTCATACTGATGCACCTGACCATGTCCCACTTACCATTGCGGAGGATGTTCGTGCTGTACGGCGCGGGTAGTCATAGCAACGCATCACGCAGAATCGTCGGATATGTTGGTCGGGTATCGGGGGGCACGGCAAGAGGCGCCCACGGTGAAGAGCGACAAATGACAAACCTCGTGTCTGCCCAATCGAGATACACATTCGATGAGGTATAATTCTTCCCCACCGCCAGCTCGACCTTCACAGCCAACCACACGGTCGAACTGCAAGAAACCTGCACCTACGCCATTCGGAGAGCGTCGGCTTTGGTTTATAGAGGTTTAGCTTGTTTCTCTGCAGCATATCGTACACCTCCCAGTTTCATCTGTCGCTTCATTCTCTGTCTCTGCGCGGGCTCCCTGCTCCGGGCGTACTGTCGCGCTGGCCATAAAACAAGTTGATTCGAAGGGCTTAGACCGGAGCCCATGCAAACTTTACCAACAGTCAACGACGTCCCTCCGTGGGCTTTCTCACTGGAGTCCCTCCCTGGCTGTTGTCTATGTTAAGGGACAATAGTTTCGTTTATTCTAACATACATGCTCCGTAGAATTCCAGCCCCAACGGTGATGTGAGGTTCCCTTAAGAAGATAGTTTGACGTTCCAAAATCGGTGCAACTTTGAGGAAGCATGAACCACCTTTAAAAATAAATTTCGAATATGTTCCCCTGATTATAGCACTACATGTGTTTCCTGGCCACATTTCCCTCTCCACGTACCACCGTGACCTGTCTTGTCCCAATCGAAGGAGCTTCTCGTTGGATTGGGGGAAGAGGACAAACGCGAGATGACATCTTTTATGGGTCTAGTCAACGCGCAAACACGCAAAACTCTGCAGGTATGGCCAGTCCTCCGGCATGTCGCCGAAATGCGGGCATGTACGAAGATAATTCCAAAGACCTGTTTCGCCAAGTCACTGGGATGCCAACTGCTGTTGAAGGCGATATTCAGTACTGCATCAGATCGTGCAGGGCGAAGGTCTGCTGCAGAGGGGTAGGCTCACAAGAAGCACCGCCCGTTTTACCGGGATTGCCTATCAAGGAGGATGGACCAAAACGGAAGCTAACGCGAAACTTCAACAAACGTACCTATGTACCGTCGTCCTCGCTGTTCTCCCTCGTGGAGGGAGGGTAAATATTCGGGGAATTGAGCCCCCCCGGGAGGAAGCCGAAGGGTGCTGTAGGGATCTTGGGTTGTACGAATGCTGCCGTGGGGGGAATCTCTCCCGTGAGCCACGACGAAAAACATGGTGTCCGCATGCTAATACATTGATGAGCTATTGATGAGTCTGGTGTGACAAGATATTCTTTGTGGACGCTGCCGTTTTGGACGGTGCGGTTGTACTAGTGCGCACCCTTGCGAGGTACGTTGCGGGCTCTCCGACGATTGATGTTTTGCGGCGTTCCTTCGAAATGAGCGGCCGGGTGTTGTGTTTGTGTGCTAAAACCCAACCTACCTGTCGGAAATAAGGGAACGCTCATCGTTTTCCGGCTCGACATTTGCGCGTCTGTTGACTCTACCTCAGGCTGGTCACCAGCACATGGCTTGACACCGACATATTCACCAATGCCAACACTTGTAGCATCGACGGTAGAAAAGTAATTGGATGTACCCATGTGTTGTGTCGCACTCAACTGTACAAGTGTGACAGCCCCTAGGCTAGAATAGTTTTGATTCGCTGCAGTGCCAAAGACTAAGATGATGTATTACGTTTGGGGAGTTCGCAAGACACGAGATAATCCAGGACGAAGCGAAAGGGAGACGATGTGAGTTTTTTTTTCGTCCTTAAGGGGGGGGGCAGGTTTCAAACTTCCTGCAGCATGTTCGGAGACGTGGTCGCTTCATCGGGTGGTAGGTGGCCGTAGGAACCACGGCACGCCATTGAAATCACCATTATCTGGGTTGTTGAATGCGGTATCGACCGAGCATGGAAAATACTTGCATCCCCACAGGCACTGATATCCTTGCCAATCTCATTTCAATGCTCACACAGCGGCCCCTGCTCAGAATACCCCCCGACCCGTCATCTGTTTTCATTTTTGTGCGCGCCCACGCTTTCATCGATTTCAACGGACGGGTGACGCAGGGAGTGGTCCGAACGATCTCAAAATCCGGCCAAGACCCGCGAATGCTGAAGAAAAAGGCTCTTGTACACGCCTTGGCACACCTCGATATCGACAGGTGACTGACTGCCATGGACGTTGCTCCATCTGATGGCTTCTAGGCTTTATTGTGTCGTCCACGAGAGACCATGTCACCCGAACGCACCGCTGACAGGACATAAAAGACCTGAACTGCGTTATCGCGTCGGTCCTAATGTAACTACAGCGTGCACGTGGGAAATATTTCTACGTTGTCGTGATGCGCGATCTTGATCGGGGCGAACGTGAAATATCAACTAAACTTATGATGCAGGTTCCATCGTTCCAATCGTCAACCTTGCCGTGGTGCCCAGCTCGCAGGTAGCTCTACCGTGCTTCTGGATACGATGGTGCGCTGACACACATACCGATGGCCATCTGCACCACGACCCCCCATTAGCGTAACTTGTGCAGAATCAAATATCCTGGAAAGTCATCCTCCGCCCTCTACCAACAGGCTTTCCGTGCACGTGTTTGACGATACCAAAGGAGCATATTATTTCTGGAAACAATGCTGAGCCTTGGCCAGGACGCGATGCTGCAACTACTGTGGCTGTATGAGCGGTACAACATTGCGAACGCCGGTGGGGGTATGACCAAGTGCGCGATGGATCACTTCGGTCGAGACATGGGTACGGTATCGCGTCCACGTCGAGTTTCGACTTGACAACATTGAATGCATCATTGTTATGAGGCTATGCCCTAAACGTTTTGGATAGCGTGCTGTCGTTGCGCTCGCATATCACGCCACCAGAGTGATAAGAGTGTAAAGGCAGCAGAAAAATGACTCTCCACAACTAGTAATGCTACGTACCACCTTTTATCTCGCACTCTGTCGGACCAGGGGAAGCGCATCTGTTTGTCAACCTTGGTTGTAACGAAGCTAGCTAGTAGATGCAGGACAAAAGGAACAGATCACATCATTCGGATACTCAGGTCGTCACTGTCATCGTCTCCCCATCCCCTGGCACGGTTCGTCCTTCTTCCATGTTTTAATCAAAGGTTCGACCTTCGCCACCCCCACTTCTCCCCCCTACCCTTGACATATTGTCTGTACACTGCCGAAAGGAGTGAACAAGGTGGACGAGCTATTCGATATGTCCCAACAGGACAAAAAGATTCTCTTGCTGCAGCTGGCCGATTGGAACCCGGTCAGAAAAGTGAAGGTGCGAGGGCCGGTAGTCGTGCACTCCCTCGCCCAACGAACGAAGAATATTTTGGCCGAAGTCCTGTCGTTGTAACACACCGCTGTCTCTTGCAGTAGATGCTGCTAGTCGAGAAGCACCGTTGAAACAAGCAATCTCGCATGCGCCGAAATATGCGCTCTTTTCACTAGGTGATGAAGGCCTGGGAGGCGACTGACCCGGCGATGACGGCTGGCTTCCTCCTTGAGCTCATCCGAGAAGAACAAGTGGGTGGTAGCGCGCCTGCTGCTGTGGTAGCGTGGAGACATGCCGCTTGTTGTTCGGTCTGCAGTATCCCCGTTGCATTGTCGGCCAGCGACCTCGGCTCGGAAAGTGCCGCCTGACCTTCTTCGCCGCGTGTTCGTAAAGGACAGAGGACCACCGCCCCATGTTAAGTCGTTCTTACCGTGTGCTCGACACCGACATCAAGGCACGTGGCGAAGGGCCTGACAGCCTGTGGCAGTGCTCCCTTTGTCCGGTGAAGCGTAACGTAGAGGTCGAGGCGAGGATGAAGCGGGGAGAGCACCGTCGGAAAGACCGCACCATTGATGCAGGTAGGGATGCATTCTGCTCGGCGCGTGAGAGGTACTCTATCGGAATCGTTTTTTTCGGCCGATTCGATCCATTTGAATGCCCCAACGACGTTCTCATCGGCTATGTATATTGGTCCTTGCCGCAGCCTTGGCAGCGTATGTGCGGAAGCCCTGTCTATCTACCCAAACGGCAAACCCTGACTACAGACAAAACAGAGTTTCTTCGTTCGTTCGTCTAGGTTTCAGGTTGCGACGTTCTGCCTAGACTCACGGTTCTCACTACTCGTGACACGCTTCCGCCGTGTTTTTGTTTTGTCGTCACTTCAAATCGGCGCTCACAGCCCGTGGTCACACAGGAGGGTTCCTCTCCCTGAGGCCCCCTACCCACCCCTCCTGCGGTTGCAGGCCTCCGATTTTTTTGTGAGAGAAGAGTGCAGCACTCTCTTCCCTCTGTGTACACACGAACTAGCGCTTTCCACCCACAGACCAGGAACGGAACCGAGAGAAAAACCCACTTTGCAAGAAAAGCTCGCTTACGCCGGGATTCGAGTCCCTGACCCTGGCCCCAAGACGATTGTCGAACATGCCAACTAGGCTACTGGGGCTACCCGTTTGAACGGATTTATTGAAAGATGCTCTTAAGTTACGGTGCTTGCAGTATCTCATGCCCCTACGTCGCGAAAGAGGGTCAACGTACCGTCGAGGTACCCACGTGAACATCCGGTTGTCCCGGCTTGATCATGTTCCATGGACCCTCAGGGTGTCATCTTCTTTCTTATTCGACTTCGAATCCTGCATCATTAGTAGAACCTCGGGTTTGCTGTAACCCGGGGATCGTTCCGTTCAACAATGGAGCATGTGGACCGTTGTGCCGTCCACCCCTGCGCAACCGCTGATATCGACGGTGATTTTCGTCGTTTTTAGCCCGCTGTGAATGCTCCTCAGTCGTCGTTCTTGTTCACCCCCGTGCACCTGGAACTGACTCGTCGACTAAGGATCTCTTTACGACTACCGCGTCAAGGGTAGTGGCGGAGGACCAGACACCTACTCCTCTGCGCACGAAAGCCTGTTCGAGTTCAAGCAACAGCGGCACCAGCATCTGCAGCAAGACGAGAGTCCTTGGGAGACAGGTGGCACTGCCGGTGGTGCCGGTGCCGCTGAAGGCACGAAGCCCCTCGGTGGAGCGCAGAAGACGCGATACGTTGAAGACAGAGCAGGAACGGCAAGTGGAGCTGGAGATCTCGCCTCCTCGCCTGCAAAGGAATGCCTCGACAGATCAGGTCAGCGGGAGCAGCAGTTGCAATTTGCGGTGACGTACGCCGGGGTAGGCTTCGACCCGCGACGCGTGTGTGCGGGCTGCACCGAGGAACTTCGGGCAGCGATAATTTCGTCGGGGCACGACCTTGAGCTGTGGCACACCGTGGACCACGAGAGGCGTGCGCTGCTGACGGGGCAACGCAGAGCCGACGTACTCAAGGCCCGGTGGGCCGAGCGCGAACGGAAAGACCGGCAGGTGGGGTGCGCACGGTGTCGAAGGTTTGGTTGATGTGCGCAATTGCGTTTTCTTAACTGGAGTCGTGAGGTCCGTCTAGCGCACGAAGCAGGCGTGTTTGCCTAGATGTGTGTAGCCCCATGTGTACATTGCGAAGGAACGGATCCGCCTTTTATTGCCCTGTTTTGTCTGTCTTCTGCGTCTGGGCTTAGGTCTGACTTACCTGCGCTGTAACCCCCATCAACATCCCGCAACCTGTTTCTCGCTGAATGTAGGTTTCTGAGCTACTTCGTCTCATTTCCGAAGCCAACCTTGACGCCTTTAGCCGACACTCTCTCGAAGATCGTGCCATGGCGGCCCAAAACCTCCAGGTGCGCCGTAGTAGCAGTTTCTGCGGCTGCTCCGTTATTTTTTTGGGAGTTTCGTGCACCTCATCTGTGAAATAGTTGATGTTCAGAGTTTGAAACTGGGACGCCTGTTTCGACGGAGCACTGAAAAACCTTGGATGCTCCTGGTGCGCCTCCCTTGGACCTTCTGCGAGAAACAATGTCATCTGGGAAGATCAAGCCCATGAAAGCCACGAGGACAACGCGGGAGGATTGAGAGAAATCGATGCTAGTGCCCCTGTGTGGATCGGGAATCCTCTACAAAATGGGTTTGGGGCGCGTTACCATCCACCTTATGCAGTAGATTTTCTTCGAAATATTTTCACCGGCAACCTCTTCTGGCGCTCTCATGTCCTGCGCACTCTGAGAACAGAACCCGCAGCACGACAGGTGTGCACGCTAGGTTTTCTCAGATCGCTTCCTGTCCTCGTTGTGCCGCTGCTCACATCCGACTTTTTTGCCCAGGTGGTGGATGTCAGACGGATGCTAGATCTGAAGCTATCCCACTCTGCCGCGGTCAATAGTGGAGCGTGCAAGGACGAAGGATTGAAGCGCTTGAACGAGCGGGAGGCCACCGCATGGGCAGCGAAACTGAAGTCAGACTCCACTGCTGCGCTTGTCTTAGCCAACCCGTTTTCCACATGTCCTTCACACACAAGATGTTCTGCAAAATGACGGTCGGATTGAATAGTATTCAACTGAATTGGTTCAGACGACAAGTAGAGTTCCTCCCTTAACTTGATCTTCCGCTTGCGCACTTGCATGTGTTTGTTCGTCGGGCACTTGAACAGGTTGAAAGCAGCCTTGAACATGGACAGGCACTACGCCTCGTTGGAGCCCGGGGGACTTCCAGCGTCCCTGCGGCGGAGGAACCCAACCTCGAGCCAACCTTCGGATTTTCTAGACGACGGCACCCCGGCGACGCCCCAGGGGGCAATGCAGACGTTTGGGCGCGCCTGCCCGCCGGAGGACAATGAGTCTGGTGCTATTCGACTCTGGAAACGAGGTGAAAGCTATGGAACGCTGCCATTCACAAAAATACCATCGCTGACCGTTTCTCAGTTGCTCTTGCACCTCGGTCGGTGAAGAATCTGAAAGCGACAAATGAAAGAAGATTCCCGCTGTCGTTTCAGTAGCGCATCGTCCCGGCTCTTTGGAACGGACATCGAACAGTTATTGTGGGGGGGGCTTGATAAGCGAGAGATATCACGTAACTGTTGTTCTTTGGTCAGTTTCCCCTCGACGATTTTGTGGGTGGGTCAAAATATTGGTAACTTGACGCTTTTGCTCAAGAACCATTTCAATTCCTCAGGATCCTCAGAAACAATTAGCTATACTGAATTCCCGCGGATGCAATTACAAACTCGCTCGGCCACATTTTCACACAGCAACATCGAGACTCCATTGGTGCTTCACTCTTACATGCTATGGGTATATTGAAGTAGAGTATTTAGACATCTTGGGCGCTCGGTATTTTCGTTGCCGTGAAGTTGACGTTGTGCTGTTTTGGGGGACGTGTTTCCACAATCCTTGGAGAGACTCGCTACTGAAGGCGTCTTTAATCATCTAAACGTGAGCAGTGTGGTTGGCTCGTCGGCGCAGTACGTCTATTGGCGCTTTTCAACCACACAATCAACCTGACGTCGGTACCCCGACGTATTGACGACGTGCTGTACTTGGCCTTGGAACCCAAAGGGGCCAAGGAAACCGAGGAAGTACTCGACTTACGACGAGACGTGCGAGAGTGGCAGTCTTCTTGCGGGAGACGGGCTCGCTTCTCCGACCTGTGCGAGCGATGGGTCGGTGTAGCCTCTGACATCGAAGAAAAACAGAGGCAGAAGCGGATGTGAGCTGAGATACTTGTGGAGAACGGTCTTCCGTCGGATTGGCTGGTGGTTTGATAGCGTTTTTCTGTACAGTTGGATCACGCCCGATGGCAGCACGCTTCGAAGCTGCTGGCAAAGATCCGTTCCCGATGAAAATGAAACAATTGAGCAACCGTTTACAGCAGTCGGATACAATATCCATATCCCACACCCGGCACCCACTACAGAATGCGTATGCTACCGTGAATGAAAACCAGGATTGAAGCTGCGGAACGCGAAAAACGCATGAGGGAGCGGCAAGCAGCGAAACTGCTGCGCAAGCGTCAGCTCGCTGAGCTTCGCGCCAACGCTGGCTCCAGGGCCACCGGTGAAGAGAGGAGGAAGGTCGAGAGGGACAAGGAGGCGGAAGAGAGAAAGCGGTTGGAAGGGGAGGAGCTGGAGCGTATGAGCCGGGAGGAAGCCGCACAGCTCGCGGGGGGAGACAGGTGCGATTCGAGGTTTATACTGTTTTTTTCTTCTTATCCTGTCGTGGCTTTGATCTCGTGTACGGTGTTGCCACCATCCCCGTATTACTTGTACGCAAACCTTTGCTTTAGACGTATACCCATGGATGTTTGCCTTGCTGTCGTCGAATACTGAACGCGATGGTGCCTGACTTTGGTGGGACACACTGCAAACGGGGGCTCGATGTGCCCGTCCGCCGATTGTACGGGAAGGGATATAGTAGTGGAGTATTGGAGGATGTATCGGATGTTATCGTCCAGAGGACGTCTTGTGTCTCTGACCGGGTGTATTCTAGAGGTCACAAGCTAGAGTTGTTCGCTCTACTCTCTGTCAAAATATGGCACGTTCCAATGCTTTCAACATGAGAAGTATCTGCACCACTACACAAGCGAAAGGTCTAGATGACCACGACTTGAACGTTTTGGGCGTGTACCTACAACCTTTTGGTGGTGGTGCTCTACCCAGATATTGGGGACTCATTCGCGAGTTGCAGCGGCTCCGCGTTATTGAAGAAGAACGGCGGCGTGCTTGGGAAGTGAGAATCCGAGCGACCAAGGAGAAGATGGTAGCAGTCCGGTGAGTGGGTACTGGCTCAAGCCCATACCCGGGTCCCGGTTCATCTCACCCCCCGCCAGGTCTAACGTGTTCCAATATCTTCATTGAGATAGAAAGCATGCTTTGTTCACAGTTCTCCCCCATTAGCGTGGGATTGAAGGTAGTCAGGGTCCGAATCAATGTAGGCGTCACTGGGTCACATGCTTGCCTTTCTTTCGCCCCCTCCTCCTCCTCCTCCTCTTCCTCGTCCTCTCTTTGTCTCTCCCCCTCCCACTTTCTCGTCCGGTTCTCTTTTTCTTTCAATCGGTATCGTTAGTCTGGATCCCCTTAGCCATATTGTGCGTGGGTCTGTGATGGGAAACGCTCGCCATCATTCTGACCGATCGCACCAATGCCAACTTCCGCAGTTGACCGGCGCATGTATGGTTTGCTCTTCGAGAGACATACGTCTGACTTCTGGCCTACGTTCCTTGAAGCGCTGTCATGACAATCTTGTTTACCATCGAGTGAACGGCTCGCGACGACAACTCTTGTGTGTGCTTCTCTTGCCCCCAGGTGCATATCGGAGCTGAGCGATTTCACCCACGCGACACCACCGATCGACCCCGAGCTCCAGCAGCAGATTGACCGGTTATTGGAGATCTAGTATCATGTCGAGCATCCGCTGAATTGTGGAGAAGTTAGTTGATGAGCGGTCGCCGACGAAGTTCAATGGCTGAACACAGTATGGACAGAGGGGTGCACCGAACAAAATCACTGAAAATCTATCATCAGTTGCAGCACTGTGCGTGGGAACTTCAGGTTTGAGGTATTGAAGAGATCTATCGGGTCGTGGTGGGGTTGTAGGGCACTAAACCGCCAATTTTCTTGGGACAACGCCTCTTTCGCTTCACGGACGAAGAGTTACGGCCGTTTGAGCACGGCAAGAGTTATTTTTGGTTAGGTGAGCAAGTGGCTGGTTGACCCAATTTTCGAACGAGCAGAACTGAAAACTCCTACCTTCCCGGCGACGCAACACTTCCCCAACCTCCTTCCTCGTAAGTCTCGGCGACTTCGTGTCTACGCAGGGAAGGGCTACTCGTTGCGCACTCTTATGAAGCAATCTCTCGTCGCAGTGAACCCAACTACTGACCTCAAGCTGCCCTCGCTCAGGCAGCAAGTGTATTGGTCGTCGAACTAAAATAGGGGTTCGTATTCAGGGCGCGGATCGCGACTTCGCCGAAGGTCGTTCCGGTTGTCTCGCGGTTAGCACCTACAGCATTAGCAGGTTGGAACTCGATCATCTCTTGGAGAAAAAAAAAATTACAACTTGCAACTTTTCTGGCGGCCGACGAGGGAACGGCACGGCTGACCCCTTTTTACGTGACAACGACCACAATGCAAGCAACCCAAGTTGTCAGGTGGGGTGTAAAGCAACATTTACCATTCAACAGCTCCTGTCTATGTGACCCCCGCTCATACAAAATTATATAATGTGTAGACCGTCGCCAGAATGGACTGGACTAACACAAAAAATACAAAATAGACCTGACGCTGGGGGAAGAACCACTGAACCCTTTTCGGGATATAAACCAAACGCAGACCCCATAGGAGGCACGGCAGGCAATCAAGAACTATCATTTCAAATTTCAAATGCTCCTGTGTGACCTTCTTCTTGTGTACCCCCGCCTGAAACGTCAAACATATACTTCTACACCGAAGAGGTGTGTTAACTGGCGCCAGGAAAATTGCGTCCTCGGCCTATCCCTATCCTCTAGCTGCCTCGTTCGTACCAGCAGTGTCATTGTTGGTCGCCGAATTGTGTGCGTCCTTTTCGTCTTGCAAGTCTTTCTGCATAGCCGCGAAGGGGTCGTCCTCGTCCTCCTCCAGGTCGCTCCCCATGGAACCGATGCTAGCGCTGAACTGGTCGGAAGAAAAGTCGCTGGAACGCCCACCTGCATCGCTCTCGTCCCCTCCGTCCGCACCGTCTTCCTCGCGGTGCTTTTTTCGTGCGCCCTTTGCGTCGACGTCGCCGTCGCCGTTGTCTTGTCAGTGTGTCGACGTGTAGCCAATCATGACAAACCGCATGTATGCGAGGAGAAAGCTTGAATTTAGGCCCACGCGAAATCGGGGACGTGGTCTTGGTGGCGGTTATTGATTCACAGATGCAAGTTTGTGTCGCAGGTACCAGGCGCAGGTACCAGACGTGTAGGTCCATCTCACACCTAGTAGTTTACACAGAGAACATTGCTTGTACTGTGGTTGGGCACGAGGCTTAACAGATGTCCATGTCACCTTATCACCAGTTGTTGCAAAGACCGTGAACAATACGTCCAGCGTCACCTACCGTTTCCTTCTTCGTGAGCGTTGACCCCGTCCTCGAACGTAGGCGTCGACTCTGGATCGAGGAAATCTTTCTCGGGGATGAGGACGAGTTCCACCTCGGCGTCGGGGTCCTGGGGAAGGGGGAATAGGATGTGTTCAGAACGAAAAGCTGCTTGAGACGGTGCTCAAGATTTCATTAAGCATGGAGCGTAGGCCATGGTCATGATGAGATAGAATCTCTCCCAGCGTCGTTTTCGGGGTCGCAGCGATATTTCTCGTCTCGTACAAGCTTCTGGCATCGGGGGAGCCCATTCGTTCATTGACTGGCTGATAGGTGTCGGGCTGTGTGCCGCGCAGGTGTTCCGTTTTTGATGGAAATAAACCATTTCCACGTCGACATTGTGGCCTTGAGATGTGGTACGCCAACAACGTTCAAAAATCAAACAAATCATCATGGTGCATGAATAATCCACGCCCCGATTCACACTCCATCCCTAGCTCCTCCCATCGTGACTACCCTACGGCGTTTTTGCGCGACAGGCTACATTTAATTTTCAGCTGTTCGGTTGTACATGAACAATTAATCCCTCGATCATCTTCTTTGTAGTGCACAGGTGCACCTTCTATACTCACCGTTCGACTCCTCTCGTCCCGTACGAAAATCACGGACTCGGTGTCGCGGGTGGTTTTATTGATTCGCTCTTGCACCATGTCCATTGCCGTCGCGTTCAGCTTCCCCCCTTCCCTGTTCCGCCTGACTATCTCGCCCGTCGTATCTTCCATGACGAAGTGATCTCCCTAACAACGGTATACGGAAGGAGGGAACACGACCAAGTTCACAGTGGTTCACACATCTTAGTTGTGGAGCCTTTGTTTTTCTCTCGTCATTCATTCCATCGGCTGTCACTGTCATGTTATCATTACATCGCAATCGCCGCCCTACCTGAAGAGCAATGACCCGAGCCAAACAGCGGCGAAAGCGCATAGTTTGGACGTGAGAAGGGTGAACGCCTTGAATCCCTAGTATGCCGTTAACCGAACTCGCCGATGATTGAAACGCGCCCCCAGGGAACGGTGAACTTCACCCCCGGGGCAACGGACTCTTGGATAGAACAATGTACTATATAGTTTTTTTAAGGGGCCGAGAGAATTGGGATATAACACCCCCGGATGACCTACGTTTCGTATAAGGAATGCAATCTGAACATCCCCTTCCACGCGAGCAAACCCGGCCGTTGGCGGAAGGTATCACGCCACTGCCTTGAGTTTATGGTTGCTGAGTGTGCTCCTATCCGAATGAATGCCACGCGCGTTTGTGACCCCCATTCCTCACAACTCCGGCACATCTGCCGTCCGACATGCACTCGTACGGACCCGAGTCGCAAACCATGATAAGCTCGCAGAAAACCCGTGGGAACATTCTATCACCCGCCTTGGTTTCGTGACACAGTGTGCCGGTGGTAGCTCCACGTGATTTTACCTTGGCGTGCTCGTTTAACCAGCCACCGCAGTATCGCCTTATGAACTCCCTGAGGACGGGGGTAGGGGTGTCCAGGTCGACCTTAATGTATCCCACCACCTGAACCACCTCGACAGCCGGCTCATTCGCAGCCTTCCCAGACCGGTGCATGATGATAACCTATCCATCCAGACGTGAAACAAGGTGCAAGTTGTCATTGGGTCGGCGGGCGGTGATGCGGTATTGAAATTCAAGTATTGCACCCGGAAAATAGCCATGTACTTGGAGAATCCTCGAGGCGCCCCACGCCTTTTCTGCTGGGAGGATGTACCTCACAACCTCGATTGCTTGCGAATGAAATACGCCGGAGTATAGACGTCACACCAGTTTCACATTGCAGCTACGGAAGTACATCTCACTCACCTTGGTCCTGTCATCCGACTGCACCCACTTCTTGAAAAGCTGCACAACTACCTCACGGCCCAGCTTGCCCCCGATCATCCCTTTTCCGTCTGCCCCCTGCGTGGAGGCCAGCCCCGTTGCTGCCGCAGACTTCGCAAAGTCGGTCATTTCTTGAAGACTGGGATTCACGGTTCAGCCATACAAAGAGAGGGAAAAACATTGCAACGGTTTCGTCTGTTTTCATGTCTCGCCTTGAACGCCACACTCTTAGGTCCCCCCGGCATTGGTCTGCAGTATCCTATTCCGCTCTTCGCCTGCCAACATTTTGTCGAACTTCTGTCCCCCGTACCCCAGATATCCAGGTGCACCCGGTGGTCCATCCTTGGGTATAGCACAGTCGGATGTATGCCCCATCCCTCCCTCCGCGGGAAGGGCAATTTGTTCGATTGTGGGATGCCGTGAGAACCCAGGAGCGCGGTACCCCGTTTTTTGTCGCATGGGATGACAACCAAGCACGCACGCGAGGACTGACGCCGTTGCATGGTGCAGCTGTTGCAGCAGGTTTAACCTAATCCAGCTGTTGCGCACAAGCACACACACGCACCTGGTCCAGAGCGCGAGCACAGACTCCACCGCCTCCATCACCCTTCTCTTCTCCGGTTGGAATCCTTCTTCAACGTCGAACAGCTTCCGCCTACGGAGCATGAGCCTCTTGGACCGGTCCTCGCTCCCCGCTGCCCACCGCTCTAGCCGCGCGTGCATGTCGCTGTCGTCGTCGAACTTTGTCTGCTCGTGATTGGAAAATGCGTTGTACAAGAATCCGAAATGCTTGGGGCATGAGACTGGACGGCATGCCGAATACGTCATGTTTTCATGTAAAATCGGCTCTGGTACCTGGTACCAGATTCAAGAGGGTTCACCCCTAGCGTTCATGCTTGTTTTCAAGGTATTCGTTCGGAATGTACCGAAGGTATGCAGTTATGAGGCTCTCAAATAGTGGTACGCGAGCGTGAGTCTACCAGATGCATCGTTGACCAGTTGTGGCTCTTTGAATGAGCAAACAATGTTCGTACAAGCGTTTTTGGCTGCGATGGTGCATGAGTCCTTTCCGGCCCTTCTCCAATGCGTGTTATTGCGCCCGCACCAGAACTACGCACACCTTTGGTTGGTCGTGCCTTCTTATTCCCTTGTTCTATTGTTTCAAGTTGACACGAAGGCAGGGTAGGGTTTCTCTTGACGTATTGTTTTTCTAGCAAGACCATCAGACTCCCGTTGGCCATACTCCAACGAACGGCCCTCATCGACAACAAGCCATGACCTCCGAAAATGTTTTCGTTGCGAAAGTGCGGACAGCAAGGCCCGCGCGCTGGGTTCCATGTAATTTCACTCAAGGACCACCTAACGTGTTTGCTCTGCCCTTGGCCACAACTCCCGGTATCGGCGGGAAGCAATCAGTGGATGGCCACGACACAATTCATCTCTCTGCAAGGGCTTGCTCCAGGGATATGTGATGTGATTTTCCATCGTCATGACTTTGCTCTATGTAGCACTCCAGAACTCACCCTCCTTTTCTGGGTAGTGAGGCATCAGGACAACAAAGAGTGTTAAATTCGTTGGGTCTGCATGCAGCGCTGCCCCAAGGATGTCATATTTCATGCACTTACCTGCCACCTCTCCAGCCTGTCTCTGTGCTGATGCGTGCCAACAACGGCCACCTTGATCGCCACCTGCACGACGGAGCTGTCCCGTATGCCCGTACGCAGCACCATCAAGATCTAGGTTTGAAGGGAAAAGGGCAGCTGTTAGTAAACTCAGTGCTAGAGGAACCCAAAACGTCGATCAGCAGGGGTTAGTTGTGTAACTGCGCCGGGCGTTTCGTCTGCCATGTACTCGTTGTTGTCGATGTTCGGTTGTTGTACCACATCGCCTGGACGCCGTCTTAATAGTGCGTCTTCCACTAGGGTTATCGTAACCGCCTAGGACAACGACAGACTGGTGCTCCAAGACATCCTGCACCACTGCATAGTTCGCGATCGTTCTCCGGTTGTTTCGATTCGACCACGCTGGAACAAGTTGTGTTACAACCCGCCACCATGGCTAAATCAAGCTCGCCTTTTGGATCACGGGCAAGATGGGCATGGCGTAGGCTTGGCATAGAGGCGCCTCCTCCAGAAGCCACTGCCGATCAAGGATGAGCACTGGGGACGATTGTGCCTGTAGGGGTGACGGTAAGCATCGGGGTGCCGGGGCAGGGGGTAGGAGTCATAAGCTACTTTTGAAAAAGGAGCAACCAAGGACACACTCGCAAGAATGCAACCTCGTCGGAGTTGATGTCCAAAATACATGTTGCCAAACCCGACTGCCTCGGAAAGGTAAAGGTGAAAAGGCGCATGGTTCCAAAACCAAGTCCGCAACGGACCAGCGGAGAGTGCGAAGTAATCCCGCTGTGCGGCCTACGAGGTTATCCGCTACAGTAGTACGAGCATGGGGTCCAGCGAACTGTCGGGGAGGGGAACCTTTCAGAACCTTGTCAATCACAGGCGAACAGGCCACGGAATATGCCTGCGCGTTTATCCAACCGGTCTTGATCCACGTGCTTCGAGCCTGTTATCCCAAGGATGTGGTCATTGTCCAACAGTGAGTTGTATCAAGTTCTAACCAGCACCCCGTCGCTGACGACGGACGGCAGTCGTGCCCACCTTGAGATCAACTACACTGTCTTCCCCGCCATCAGCACCGGCCGCAGTGCCACCCTCGCCAATGCTCTCCGCCGGTGTCGTCGCAGCGGCTCCACTGCCCAATCCGGTCGCAGGCCGCTCCTTGGTATCTCCTGGCTCCTTCGACGCCAGATTTCCAGCCAAGGCTGACGCCGCCGCCGCGGCCTTGTCCTTCTTGTCGTTCTGCCGGGACTCTTTTACACCAACCACGTAGAATGGGCCGAAAGCATGCGATGGAGGACGGGGGCACGCCCCCGCCTCGGCCTCCGGCAAGAGGTATACTGACGAAGGATCGGTGGGCTCCACGCGCACTCTCCTTCCGTATGGCATCCACTTGAGTACCTGTCATGCGGTGTGTTTTGTTTTGTTTTGTACCAGGAACATGAAGTTATTGGGAAAGACGAAATGAAACTTGTGCGAGGCACGCAGTAAAGGGAATTCAAACGTTACAAGTTACAAGTCTACAGTGTTCACAACACTTCCTGTGGCAATCTCGGGGGCATTGATCTCCTGATATTTCCATGAAAGAACACATGCACACAGACACACGAATACTGGTCGAAGAATTCGGCGACGAGGACCACAACACAAAAACTGGGAGTTACTGTTGCATCGCACCGAATACTTCTAGTGCGTAAAACGGCGACCCCTCATGAGTGTTCGAAGTACTATCGACGAAACCACCAATGACCGTGGAGATCATAAGTCACACAGCTGATAGTGCTGAGATTCTACCAGGCAAAGTTACAATTGTAGTGGATGGCGGTGTCGTGTTGGAGGACCCGAACGCTGCCGTTTTTCAATAACGCGAACACTGCACACAAAACAGGACAAAACAGAAACACAAATAGCAGCATCACTCGCCTCTCGCATGTTCTGTCCCTTCTCCAGTCGGGCATTGGCCTTGCCCTTCTGCATTGACACTGGGAACGGCATGAGCATTCCCTCCGTTACCGCAGCTCTGACGTTGTTTCTCAAACGGAAGGGGCCGATGAGCGCCTCCAGTGCGTTTTCGGCCGCTTTCACCCTCTCTTCCGCCTACGCGTTAGTTCCACATCAAGAGTCGCAACAGACGTGGTGTTCCTAGGAGTCGCCCAAATGTGCCCTTCAACCCATCGACGCAGCACCGATCGGCTTCTCAACTACTGGGGACAGAGCCGTGAGTTCCTGCGCAATAGGTCAAGGTTTGGCCTTACCTTCTCCCGCTCTTGTTGATGGTTTTGGACCGCACGTTTCGCCTTTCGCGAAATCTGCTGCAGTTCCTCTTTGTGTGCCGCGCTCACCCCTCCTTTCGCCCGAGCATGCTGCCGGGCGGGATCGAGAACAAATGTGGAGTGCGCGTGTAGAATTACGGTGGTTCACACACATGCTTTGATGGGGGCGCGTTCAATTTTCCATCCCGCGGGGAGTGGTATGGGCGAAGTCCTATCATCATACTTTCATGGACTCTTCATCATCTTCCGAGTTGAGGAGATGGGCTCTATCGCCTCGTTTTCGTCAGCTATGTCCCCTACGCTGTGTCTCTCTTGGGGTTGCTGGTAAAAGCGATTTTACAACTCCATGAGTGGTGGGTCTTTTGGGGGGTGTAGATCCGGTAGGTGGGTCGCATTCAAAGAAGTAGCATCGGACCCCGGAAGTTCGTTTCTTGTCCTGAGGAACACACCAAAGGACATACTGGATAGATGTACGTCAGGTGTTATTTATAGACAACAACGTCAAGGAGATCCCGTTGAGAGTTCAGCAGGAACGAAGACGCCTCTCTCTGAACTTTGATACACTCTCACCTGGTAAACCCCTACGGCTTTGTCTCGCAACCTCTCGTACTTTCTTTGTTTTCGGCTCTCCATTCGTAGCCGGATCAATTCACCGCCTAACCTCAATCGCGCCGCATGCACCTTCCAACGGCCTTTACGCTTGGTCTTCTTCGCGAAGAACTCCTGGGAGTTTGTAGTAGGGTTCACAAAGCTTCTTTGACCAGTGTTTCGTAGTGGCACCGTGATAGTATGTGTTGAAAACGATAACAAGAGCCGAATGCATGTAGTCGAGTTGCACAGCATCATGATGTGCAACCACCCTTCATTTGCTCAAAACTATGATAAACAACACGCACGTTTTCGCAAAAAAACAGAAGAAACGTTGCCTGATTCAAGGGAGTGGTTGCATTGAAAGGTATGGCGATAATAGATTAATATGTCAATGGTCAACCACAACTGAAACTCGCCTGTTCCCGGACCATCTTAGCCCCTTCGTGCCATCCAAACGTGGGTCTAACGATGTCCATGATCGTGGATTGCCACCACCTGAACACCGTCGAAATCGAGCAATGTTTATAGGAACTCCAAGCGCAGGAAGGTAGGCGCGAGCCAACCATGAATCCCCCACGGATATTTTGTGAATGCCGTTGGACGGGGTAATCATCAAAGAGATGATTCAAAACTTGATCCTCCATCGAAGACGCTCGGCGATTGTCTCACGCGAATGTATCCACTGTAGCATCTTTCCAAGCACGAGGCCAAGCCGTCACTGGTCGCTGTGCTTTGCTAGAAGATGAGGCGATCAACGCGTCCCAAAAACTATGTGCGGTACTAGCCCGACCATACCCAGAGCCAGCTTTCGCGAGGTTGACGTTTGTTCTTCTCCAATACCCTCCGTCTTTCATAGGCATACCTACCATCTCTCCTATCACAGTTGAGCGACTACGGGACGGAAGCTGTGGTTGAGGCGAGCCGTCTCTTCTACTGAATTACTCCCGCATGAATGCTACAGCAACACGACCGTACCTTGGATATTGCTTGAGGACAATCTCCTGGTTCGTATCGGACTTGAGAAGACGCGCCTTGCCGAAATAGCGAGCAACCTTGTACGTAAGTTTCTTTCGGATCTGCTCGCACGGTTGTCGGACGATCGATATTTATTAGCGAATCTTGCACAGCAATAGGGTTGTTGAGTATTCAACATTCGGCAGACACTAAGACTGTTTTGAACGCACAGTGTGCAAAGCTCCTCGCGGGCGATCCGCTTGCTTTCGCCTAGAAAAAAGTGAACGTATCACCTGCATTTGAATAGAAAGGACACAAACTGTTGACCAATGTCGGTGAAACCGAATGGCATACAGCGAAGAGAAAACACTGACTTTGGGTAAGAACCCTCCCCCGAGCCAACCGTTGCGTAAAGCACATCAAAACATGGTTCAGTTGGTGATTCCGAAGTTGGCTCCTTCGACGGTAGTCTCCTATCCGAAACGCACACGGCAAACGAGTTGTTTGTCGAAATTGCAACAGCTGCACAAGCGGGGGTACGCTTTCCCGTAAAAAACTTCGTGGTGCATCAAGCAGGAACTTGCTGAAGATAGACGGAACTGCAGTGCAGACCTGCTCGTAAGAATCATTATACGAAACAAGATATCGAGCCTCAGAATGGTTTCGAACGCTTAAAATGGAGAATGCTTGGTCTCAACTGCCGGCATCGCACTCAATTCTTTCCTTTGGCTGCAATAGCAGGTGATTAATCGTTGAGATACTGTCAGGCTTTGAATCAAGGTAGGTGTTTCTCACGTCTGGGCCAGCAAGTTGTTGCTTCTTCGTTCAAGCAATACCATCAACGTAAATCTGTTAGGGAGGATGGAGGATCATATTTGTACGAAACCTGGCCTGTATTTGCCTTTCTCCTGTCCCTCAGGTCGGGTTGTACACGGAGAAATCGAGCTGAAGGCTGTCTACATGTCTCTCCCGATGGTTGCTTCATACCTGATCGTCCTTGTGGCGTTGTATTTTCCACAGAAGGTGTTGATCCATCAAATGTCTTCGCCTCTTTCTCGCCAGATAGCCCCTCCACACTGCCTGGAAAATGCAAAGGGAACAACGACAAGAATCAGTGAATTGGCCATGATCCGCTGCGTACTATATCGCCGACCTCTAAATAAACACTAGGGAATGAAAGAGACTGTTGTTTTATGTAGTACAACAATAAGAAGAATTGCCACCGGCAACGTCCGGTGACCACATCAGCTTGTGTGGACTAGACCGATTCAGTTTCATGGCGGAAAAGCCCCAGTTCTATCATTCACTTGCGGCATACGGAATAGGCGCCCAAATACCTGGATTTTGATGGCAGCGGCAAGCATTTTCTTGTCTCTCGACCTCTTGCCGGTGGCCGCGGACTCCGCCTTCATCCAGAGCTCCCTCGCCCTCGACGATTGCTCTTCCTTCAAACGCTTGAGCTTTAGCGATCGGAACCCTACCGCCTCGATCCTTCATTTATCCGAACATCAAGAATGCTGAAATGAGGCAACTATGTCGTCCATTCACTGTGGGGCATAGGTAGAACGTCTAGTCCAACGAAACATGCAGAAAACAGCAGCACCCGCCGCCCCAGAGACAGTACAAACACGAACATAAACAGCCACCCGAAATAACACATCGTTGTTAAAGTCGGACGGCCGACTGACAGCCTCAACTCCGCCCAAAGGGCTGACAAAACCAACACCGAAACACCGATGTGTTGACCATCGCCATCGACAAGGTGTACGGTGAAGATGCCAGTTTGTAGACGACTGTGATGAAATGTTCGGCGGCATGAACTGCGATCGAGGTGGGACGGTATCCACACACCGGTGTTCGGCGAGTTGGTCGGGCAGGAGGTAGTGGTGGCGAGCTTCCAGGCACCGTTTGCAAAGAAGCAGACATCCTTCAGTATCGCACCCAAAGCACTGGAAAGCCTGTTTTCAATCACGGCGCATAAAGTCGACAGTAATGCCAATGCTCTCAAGGAAATCGAAGTTTCAGGAATTATGTCGAGGACACATGCCACCGTCTGGAAGCACGCTCTGCTGATTGGCGTGTGCCGTCTATAGGCGGCGTTTCTCTCGGCCGCAACGGGAATCGAAGTGATACAAACGAGAAAGGAGACAGCCCGCGATGACCATGCGATAACCGTACGTTTGCTCCATGTGCCGATAACGGTGGATCACAACGCCGAGCACTTCGAAGGTCGTGGAAATGTCAATGTAGACACCATTGAAGTGGAATAATAAATCAATGTCGAACCACAACGTCCTATGTAGCAATGCCAAAGCATCGCTCCGTTTCCCTTCCCTTTGCTATCCCACCGCTCGTACTACTACGCATCGCAATCTTGTCTACCTTTGAGCCCCCATCCCAGCATTGTGACCAAAGATGTACGATGTGCAGTTGATCTGCGTCACAAAGTAAGCCCCAGCACACCGTACATGGCTCCCTTTATCTATCCGTAATACCGCGTGTACTCATTGTTGCACCTGTGCCCTGTCCCCGCAATCATGGCACATTCCAACGAGCGGCTCGAAGGTGTGGCGCCTGATTCTCCCTTTGCGGTGAATGTGCGCAAAGCAGGACACGCAAAAGTTGTCGCCGCACTGCTGGCAATGCTTCACGGCCACCTGTAGGTTTAACACAAAAAAATGAGAGAGCGAGAGAGAATGGCTGCTCATCGTCGCGCCGCGCGGACAGGAAAGGACGTGGCTGCTTTTTTCCTTGATTGCCAGCGAGAGCATTCTCGGTTGTTCAAATTGATGGTGAAAAAGCTGGGCAGGTGACGCCGATGGCCTCGACGGCTTGAGGCCTTTCATGTACACCCGACCGTCGGTTCAAACTTGTGAGCAGCGAAAGATGAAAGGGTCTCGCAATTGTTCCGTTGTTGCCCATTGCATTGGCAAGGCCTGGTCTGGTATATACGTGTAACAAGATTGCGTGACAGATACGGTGGTGCCACCAGCAAGCTGTCAGTTTCGGAACCCGTAGCACAACATAAAAGGATCGGTTTAGGATGTGCTAAAAACATCTGTGGTGGGAATGCAATGACGAAATTCCAAAAACCCGAACTTCGCTGGTACGAAATCAATCCAATCTCAACCAGCTTTAATCGTACCTGAAAGCTGCATTCTTCACACATCTCGATCGGCACTCGGAGATGAGTAGAGGCATTGCCGGTGCGGTGGATTCGGTCGACGCAGAGATGGCACAGCATGTCTTCGTCGCAGTCCGCGCAAATTCTGCAAAGAGCACAACATCGCGGCACAACCCACGCATGAAAAGCGCATCCGCGTGATATCTCGTACTATTCAGGTGACGGTCTAGACTACAGAACTCCAGGACTCGGTCAATTTCACCCAAAAAAATGCCCAAAGCTGGGTGTGCATGCGAGATACGCGGTACATGTTGCCGACGCATTCCGCACAGATTTTCGGGGGCAAGCGGAGGCGCTTCAGCGGCGTCGCACCGTGTTTTCTGGTTCTCCAAACTCATCTCCTACGCCATCGAGTGACATGTGCCCGTGCACGTCCTCGAGACTTGGTCAGTGAAAAAGTTGCGGGCCATGGTTGGGGCACGATATCAGCATCGATGTTTGCTGTTCGACTATGTCACGCACTCACTCGGTGGCCACTTCTTCGGCGCACTCGTGGCACATCGGCACCATGATCTCCTCTCCCGCGGGGACGACGACCGCCGTGGAGATGTCGAACTTTCCCAGAATCTTAGGCTTCGTCCAAGACGACTTCCCTGTCTCGAGGTTTTGCAGAAAAAGCCATCAACAAAAACGACGAAAAGACAAACAGCAAACAGCATCCCCAAGCTCGAGACATGGTGGGGAGGCCGAGCACCGAGTGACAAGGAGATATCGTGACGTTCCTACATGGGATGCCAAGAGTAGGCGCAACGTGTTCATGGTAGGGTGAATGAAGCGACCGTTTCATGCAGCAAGCCGTGCGATTATCATTTTCTTGAAACGTATGGTCGGCACACTGCCAATATTCCCAGCCATGGCAAGAGACCATAGCAACGTCGTTCTCCGTCGCTTTCTGCCGTCGCTCCCTACCAGCGTGCTTCGTCATCCGGTTTCACACGAGCTACCAAATTGTAGTCATTGTCCCGAACGAATCCTACCTGTTCTCGACAAAATCGGCAACTATATCTGGAAGGTTTGAATGCCTGAGATACTCGGCAACTCCATCTAGGAATTGCGTCAAAGGTTGATGATGTGGGCCGGTCGACCGGCATGGGTTTCTCGGCTCAGTTTTCTTCTCCGGTCCGTACACCCTCATATTCGATCCAGTTATCATCGAATTATGTAGCTCTGTCCCTCCCTGTCTCTTCTGGGGTGAGCAGCTGGCCCCTTGCCCTTTTACCTGTTTTTGGGTCAAAATAGTACTCGGCCCCGGTGAGGCCGTCCAAGCACCGGTAGTACCGCTTCATCGCCAACTTTGCCGCTCGCGTCCGAGCTGCAAACGCCCGCATCCTGTAGTTGGAGAGGGAGGGGATTCGCAACAGATACAGAACGGAGACATGGGTAAAACATTTGCTGAACTGGCTGCGAACCAACGCAGCAATTGTCTAGCACAAGGGCTACTCGTGGGCCATTCGATGCCCCCTGCAATAAATTCTACGCGATCCATCCAAACACTTTGTTCTGGCATACTAAATATCTCCACGAATAGAGTCCTGAGAGTGAACCGTGCAACGCCCGGCCTCGTGTTGCTGTGCGTTTTCACCCGCCTTGTTTGCAGCAATGACGCAGCCCAGTTGAGCCTTGCATCATGCCGGTGAAGCTCCCGCCGCCCCGATGCCTCCCGCGCCAGTGCCCTCCCGGAGCAACCCCTCGCCACGCAGGCCTGCACCACCATGGCCGCCGCTTCGAGTCGGTCGAGGGCGCGCCGTCTTGCCCCTCTTCCCTCGGCCTCCATCTCTGAGCACGCCTATGACGACGACGGCAAGGATAGGTGGGCATGGTTTCTCGCGGGCGGCCCTTGTCGTGCTGCCGCTCTGGTCGATATGGTTGTTCTATTGAGCGGACAATGATCATTTATTCACTCCGCACATGCGTGCCTGCTGGCGTTCAACAGGTCCCTGCCAACTAGTACGAGGCGCGATGGCGGGCGTGTAGAAGTACCTCCTACAATTGTTTTTTAACAAGGAAATTTGAAATGGTGAACGAAAGCATTTACATTTCTGACAACGCCCAGGAACCAGACCTGGAGCAGATGCCAGGGAGAGAAAACATGTTGTTGGCGGTAAAATGGTGGCAATCGCCACACAACAATGTATCCAACCTCCCCGTTCCGCTAACTGACGTCGGTTCAGGCTGAAGCGTACTAGCTGCCGCAGAAAAACTATGTTTATTAATGGAGTCATGAAAACAATTCTCGGTTTGTTGAACGAGCGTGTCTCATGATCGGTAGCAGCATGTTTGGCGCCGACTCCCTCACCTCCTTCCCGGCTTGAGAGTTGACGAAGACGAACTTTTGTAGAAGAACCAGCAAGCGCTGGTCGTCTGGTCGAAATCCCCCTAGGCATTCAACCTCGGCCGTTTCGGCCGTTGCCCCCTCTCCCGCTGCTTTGGCCCCAGCCACTTTAGCCGTGGCCCCGCCACCTGCGGGGCTCTTCGCCCCAGCAGCACCGGGTCGTCCCGAAAGCTTTGCTGCTTTTTCCGCTCGATTTTCGGTCGTCGGGGTCCTGGAGTTCTCCGCCCTGCTTCTTTTCCCGTCTGCGTTCGTGGGAGACGTCGCCTCGCCTCTCGCGGAGCGGTTGTAGGGCCGCTTTGATTTTTTTCCGACGCCGCTCCCACGGTCGGCTTCAACCAATGAGGAGACGGCAGTAGTAGCACCTGGGATGGCTCTGACGAGCACGGCAACACTTTCTTCCTGTGCTGCCGCGGCGGCGGCGTCCCCCAGCCTACGGAGGTCTGGGTGCTGCGTGCCGATATCGTCCAGCGCAGCTAAGAAGCTCGGATACGGGAGATGACTCAGGTCCTGTTTTATTCCCCAAGATCCGACGGTCCGAAAAAAGGCGCGCACTTTGTCGATTTACCCCTAATCTAACCCTGTGTGCGGGCTGTCTACGCGGACGTAGGAAGAAACATTTGTAGGCGCTGTGGTTGATGTGCCATTGAACAAGTTCGTATCCACGACGGCCAGTGAGAAACGCCGTGGGTCGATTGTGGTTCCATTCTAGGGTTGTTCCTGCTATGTATTTGTTTCGAGCTTGCAACCCGGAACGCAAGCAAATCGTGTGAAGGGAGGAAATTCAGTTCCGAATGATTTTGTCGAGCATGTGCCGTCGCCTAGCAGAGCATGTACTGTTAGTTTGCACTCAGTCGTTCGCCTATTGTACGGATGTGGACACAATGCGTGGCAAATACATGCAACATACCCTGGGTTTCAGCCTGGAGAAGGAAATCTCCACCCGTTGCACTGGAAAGCGCTTATCGATGATGCCGGCGTCTTTGCACAAGGCCGTCAGCTTGGCGACCACCATTCTGCCGGTATTTCGCCGATCTCCGAATCGGCAGTACTTCATGAACGTCTGCATGTCAATGGTGGAGGCAAACAGCAATGGTGTGGACTTCATTGGTTTCTGGGTTGGGATGAAGGTCTCGAAATACCGATCTTGCTGCAGAGTAGTAACGTCACAAGTTTCTATTGAATCGTGCTGCGCCGCCGCACATCGTGTTGCCATGCGAGGTCTCGCCGATGGGATATGCATATGATATAAGAACGCGCGGGAACAAGCACGCCTTCGCGCAAGCGTGCTCGCCACTTGCCGGCTGGGCCAACAGCAAATTGCCCCCCCGCCCCTAGACGTTTCCGACCATGCCTGGCCGTGTCCTACCGTCTACCCGGACACGGCCCCCATTTTTCATACCCTATGGAGCTCTAGGTCATCATCAAGGTCCTCTGAACGAGCGCCGTTGAGCAGCTCCTCGTCTTCCCGCCTCCGGATTAGCTGCTTCCACCTGTATTTGCGGCACGAAACATCCTCGTGAGTTCCTCCTCAGTCGATAAGTCCTACAAAATATCGCCTGGAACCAAGTCCGGCGTTTTCCTTCGTTTGAAGGAACAGCTCAGACTTCATCACCTCATGGTTGTAGAACAGTAGAAAGTCAGGATGTCAAGCTCTGATGTGGAGAACCCTCGAGGCAGTCAGAGCTAGCTGGGAATAAGCCACCAGCAGCATAATGTAGCCCCGAATCCACTTTGTTAATTGTTTGACCCCCCGCTCATTGTGATAGGTGTGGTTGGGATGGATGCGTTTCGGTATACACTAGGCTGTTTGGTCAGGGGTCGCTGCGACTTCACCTCTGTAGGTTAGGAGGCAGTGGGGGGTTAACATAGAAATCTACGACTAGCGGGAAACTCGGTCCAACGGCTGGGTCCTTCCTTCGCTCTGCATCGACCATTGACAATAGCATGCCTACAGCCACGGCGCACCTAACGCGCCCTGCCGCTCTCTCCTCGCCGAGGTGTTGGGTGTAAGTCCTGCGAAACTGGGCCCTCCGACGACCGAGCCATCCGCGGGTCAGTGCCTGGAGCCCTATCACCCACCGACGTGTCTGCATAAACCTGTCGACACACCCCCAAAAGGTTCTCGTTCATTTTCATGCAATATGTGGTCATTCGTCATTATCGCTGGGTGCTTGTCGCTGTTTTTGATGCGCCGCTTCATTTCGGCTTGCTCTCGCTCGTTCGTTGCCCGTTTCTCGTTACTCATTGTTTGGCTGTTGGTTAGAGGCTCGACTCCACGGGGGATCCGCAGAGAGATGGGGGAGACCAGCGGCACGGCCGATGGAAGGGTCGTGAACTGAGTATCCAACGACATAATATTGTCCTCAGACCACCAATGGGACACCAACCGATTCATAACTATTTTGCCATGCTCAAATGAATCGACCTGCCGCGAGATCCTCTACTCCGACTAGGGTGTTGCACAGCAGCAGAGGTTGGGAACGGGCGGTCTAAAGAGTTGTGAGTCCCCGGCACAGGTCGAATCTACCGTAGGCAGCGGAACCCACCTTCTCCTGGCAATGTAACGCCTTCCCAACGCACGCACAACAACGCCCGCGTTCCCCTTCGCGGTTGCTCGGTACATGGCCTGCATGCAGACGCCTCTGAACAGGCCTCGACGCCTGGGGCGTGATGGAGTCAGCCAGCAAGACACCAAGCAACATCAGCAAAAACAGCAAGATGAGTGGTAACAAAACCAGGAGCGTCCAAGGGGGGGTCGTATGTCCACAGCCTTCGAGATAAGGAAGTCGCAAAAATCTATGAGGGTGAAAATGTTCCAATCTGCTACGCTTGGTTTCAGTCCGTAGACGCGGGCCAAGATCAGTTTTGGGGCCAGGTAGATGGTGGAATCGGGAGGGGGAAATTACTTGTGATTGTTGGGGGTTGAGCCAATATGGGGAAAACGAGTGGGAATGCAGTGTTTTCTTTCACGGAGACGACCAGCGCTATTCGGAGACCTTTGATGCTGACTTCAAAAAAATTGAAACAACCGTATACGGCGAACGTCAACCCCGCTCTACGGGTCTAAGGAGACTGAGAAGGACTGGGCGTGAGGCAACAGGAAGCATGAGGGGTAGGGAAGCGTGCGTGTGGTACTTCCGCGCAAAGCACGTCTTGTCGCTGGCATGGGAGTGGTCGTCCAGCCCTCTGTACCTCGAAGTCACGCTGTTGTGTTTTCGATCACGAACGTAGTGTTGGATTCTGATCGCCGCCTTCTCCTCCTTCTCCTGGACAATATTGTTTTGCATCAAACGTGGAAGAACGCGTTTGGTTTTTTCATGCCCAGGCCCACTGCAAAGTGTGTAACATGTGAAAGACGTGCAAGGCGTAAGTCTTCACCATTGCCAAGAGGATGAAAGGAGGACTGCAATCGTGCGAACACTCTCATTTTAATTTCTTGCAGACGGTGTTGCTCTTTGTGGCATATCTTGGCACTAGTACGGATACACCTGGCAACCGTTCCATCCTCGTCTGCAACCTCATGAAGTGGTAGGTTTGGGGTAATAATGACGGTACCATCCTGCGGTTTCCCTCCAGACGGTCAGGCATCAAGGTTCTAATATATAATGCGCTCTGGAACTTTCTCGTTTTCAATTTTGTCGTTAAACTGATCTCGGAAGCATCGGTACGGGCCATTGTACAACGTGCGTCCTCTGGCTGACACAGAGAGCGATACTAACGACGCCAACACATCTGGCGCCCGTCATCATGCGGGGATGGCCAGCACGCCATACTTGCTGACCTTCTTCTTCTTCATGAGCTTCCCGGAGGCCACTCGTATCATTATCGCTCCCGCAACGGTTGTCGCGGCTTCGTGTTTCTTCCGACTCGCCAGCGTCGTAATAGGAAAGGCCAAGGCCTTCATCTTCAACGTAGTTTCCGCTGTTCTAGCACCTGTATGCCATCCCAAGCAGAACCGAACAATCATGGGAAGCAGCCAACCGTTCGTCAGTACGTCACTTTGTTGGCCCTCTCGAGTGCATTCTTCGACCAGCAAGGGATTGTGCTGGATGGAAACACGTTGCTGGTCTGGTCAGCGGCCATAGCTATTACCAGTTCCATCAAGTGTTTTGCTCGCCCAACCAATGCTCAAGCGTTTGGCCGGTCCGGCGTACCAAGTTCTTGACTCTGTTAGTGTCCCTAAATGGGCACCCGGGCAAGAGAAACAACCACTTTGGTGTCCATTTCCCACTCGTCTGGCCCCTTTGTGCATGCCCCTACGGTCTAGCAGATGTGTTGCAAGTTAAAGCGAACAAGAGTCATGTGCCCTGGTGCTGGATACGAACGCTCGCCGGGTTCACAGTACCTCCTCGTCTAATCGCCCCAGCCATGACCGAAATCCGTCGCGTCCATCTACCGGTAGTCCGTACTTTGCCCGCGAGCCCTTTTGCAAGCTGTGCCCTCTCTGCGGCCTGTCTCAATGCGGACGCGGCAGCGAAGACCAGTCGTTGGAAAGGCGTGGTGGTACCCAGAAAAATATTTTCAGCCTGTACTGGCCCTCGTGTATGCTGTACTTGAGTGGAATCGTCTTTGAATGTCCTCACCAGTTTCGATTTGGATCACCTCTACTCAGTTGCCTATCCACCAAACGCCGTCGGCGCCGCAGCCAAGCAACGAGGGAAGCTCTTTTGTTCTCGCGATGCTCTTTCGTCGCATGTCAACCAGCACGATTCAAGGCTTGTGGCCACGCTCATTTGCCTCAAGATCTCGGTCCGGTGAAACCATCATCTACCTACACGGAGGACGCTCTTCAGCCCACCGCTATGTGCAACACTACTTTAGCGCAAACAGACGCAAGTAGCGATCGCGTGGTCCCCATTGTTTCGTCGCGCAAAAAAAACAACTGGCCATCGGAACCCCACTTCTTCCTGTGCCGTCGTCCGTGATACGCCCCCTCTTTTATTCACCAATGTGTCTTCCCGGTGTATTATGAACAGGTTGAAAAACGAGTATGACCGTTTCACAGCCGTCAGTCACCATCGTGAACTTCTCGGTCATCCTTCGTGAGATGATCATAAGGACGAGTTGCGACACACGTCGATATGTGCGGTCTTCTCTTGGGTCGGATGGACCAATGCCAGTCCAAATCTTTACGTTTGAGAAGGTCCTATCGTTTGCACTGCCCGTGTTGTGGTTTCCCGGCAGTATCTCGATGTTATCTCCGCTCCTTGTGCTATTCCTTGCTTCGTCTTTACGCTTTGTCACCACCTCAGCTCCACCGAGACCAGTGCAAAAAGTGCCCCATCACTCTCAAGGCTTCACTTACGTTCTTTAGGTATACTGTGTTGTTCACCACGCGGGTCAGCTTCGCCCCGGTGCCTGTTATCCTTGCCAACGTCTCCCGGCTGGTCCCAGTTAGCCTTGTGACCGTGTTCCGGTTGATGCTTCCGAGGCCCGTACCGCCGACGCCGACGCCGCCACCTAGAAGCGACGAAAATATAGCTGGAGCACTCCTGCCTGCTGCCGCTTGGATGGCTGTACCGTAAGTACCTGGCTTGAGCCTCAATAACCGCCTACGGTATGCCCGCTGATCAACGTGGCGGCGCAAAGGCGGAGGGATGGGAGGAAACGGGATGAATCAACGGGTTGTGGAAGGAAGCACATTGCAAGGCTTCAGTTGAGGCCGGGGAAAGAAAGGGGGAATTCAGAAACGTGCCTTGAGGAGGGGACAACGGCAAGGCCTCCTCCTTGGATACGATTGATTCTCATATGCCGTGCCATTGCGCGTGAATTTTATTCCCGGAAAGTTAAGACAAGGCACGAACGTTGAAGACAGTGCAGGTTACCTCCATTCAAATCGAATCCCCACTCTTCTCATTGGCTGTTTCCACGACTCTGTTTCTTCGCCGCTGGTCGCAGTTTCACTCTGGACTTTGATGTTGTTTCTCTGCCTGAAGAGTATCGGTTCCGAGTCACATGGAAGAGTTATTTCGCAGCTCGAATGCCTTCGTCTACAAGCTTGAGAATAGTTTCAACAGGTCTTCCCTCGGTACAATATTGAGAAAAGCAACACCTCGACGCACGAGTACAAGGTACGAAGCTCGTACGCTCCAATGACTTCGCAGCTGTTCGCACTGGCTCGACATATAAACCATGCTAACAAAGGTCGAGATGTTTTTTCATGGAGGTTTTTTTTCATGTCTGGGTACACAAATGATTGCACTCCCGGCCACTAAACCCGCCGAATACCTGTATGGTGGTTGCCCGGACGCCGAGGAGGTGCTTGTATCTCCTCCTGTATCAACGGCCACAGCGGGGAGTTAGTGTTTGTTGTGGTGAGTGCGTAGTCGTGCACATAACCAGCTCGGGGTCACCGACACAAGATGACGGTCTGTGATGACCAATAGAGGGGAACACCCTGACGACGAAGATGGAGAAATAAATTGGGAGAGGTCAAAGTTCTAATTCGCCTTTGAAGGCAAGTTCCAAGAACAAGGTACGGGCCTGTCCTACTTGTTGTATTTCCCCTACTTTCAACGGAAGGTTCACAGCTTGCGAGGGCCACGACTGGTACGATTCGACCACCGTTCCTAAAGCGGGGCACAAGGGCGGACAAAGTCTCAGAACGGAAAAGGGGGCAGGCAATCAGTTGCTTGACAAGCCACACCAATATGAAACGGCGCGAAACTTCCAGTCCGAGTTTTCCAACTACGCTCCATTCCAGCTCTTGGAGAAAAAGCGCAGATGATTGCTGCGCGCAACCCGAGCACTCAGACCGACCGACAGACAGGGCGGAATATCCACGTACAAAATCGAGCTGAACTTTCGCTATTGAGCTCGCGGAGCACGACAAAACCAGGAGCACCAGACAAGGGCGGGGAGAGGAGCGTGGCGTGGGAGCGGACAAGGCTGTTGGAACACGAACGGGTAGAGAGGTCGCAAACCAGACTCCTAAAAACTAGCCCTACCCGACCTTAAGCGTTTCATCCGCCAGGGTAACGTGTGCCACCATCTCTGGATCATAACGGCGGCCCCATGATCGACCAGATGGGCCACGAACACCTCCGCTCGTAACGCGAACCGGGCGTCGTTCAGCTCCATCCTGCGGATCCGTCGATCCTGCCCGCATCGGCACCGTGCATGAATGGCGGGGGGTGAGGGTGGTTGCAGGCGAGGGCTGGCGGATGGTGGTTGGGGATCATTTGCTGTGAATCCGGCGAAGTGTGCCCCCGGATTCAGGATTGTCCACTGGCATGAATCCACATCCCGCCTTCTAGTGCACCGGGACAAGCCGTTTTCACCGCGTGGTGTGCTTTAATATGACTTCCCTTGATATCTCCAAACCCTTCTCACGGCACGTTTCACATGTCGCAAAACAACCGTCACCAGCAGTGGCCGCATGGCAGCAAGTTGCGCCACGAGGCGTCACGTCGCAGAGCTAACCACTGCTGGCAACATATTATCTGCCACTTAGCTACCTGTTGACCTCCCCTCGTGGCTCCCCGGTGTTAAAATCTCACCTTCTTTCCTTGGGAGCTCCACAAACTCTGGCCACGTAATCCGTCTTTGCATCATAATGTAGCGTTGACTCGGAAAGTATTTTTGGAACGTAGCACATCCCCCCCTCCCAGATACCGCGCTTGGACGAACGCAGGAAAGCAGCAACGGCAACAAGGTAACCCCTACAACCCTCAGCAACGGTCCACCGAGAATTCACCCGCACACTCAAGCTTCAGTATTCCCACGCTCACTAGGGGAGTCCGGCGCCTCACGAGCACCCCGCGCGTCCAGCGCTGAATCATACCCGCAGCGGCGTGCTCCTTGCGATACAGCACGATCTCTCGCCACCCTTGCTCCCTGGCCTTGCGAGCGATGTAGTTGCGCTCCACCTGACACGAAAAGTACCTCGATGTGATTTCTGGAGTAGTCGAAGCAATACGAGTGAGAACCCGACAACATCGAGGGTTCTTTGGTTCACCAATCGGCGATATTTGGGAGCAACCTCGTGTTGGACTCTGAAACTCTCAGCGTGCCCCGCCCCTCCTTTCAATTCTGTAGTCAAGTCGATACAAGCCGAACGTCCATGTATGATGACGCTGGGCTCGTCGTGAGGAAGCGGCGCAACAAATCCCTCCCGCTATCAGCTGGCCACGGATCGTCCCCTCGGTCGAAGTCTCCAGTAACTACTTCCTAGTCTAGGTTTTGACGGGATGTGTGTCACTGGGTCGCGCACTGGCCTTTTCGATCTTAACACGCACCCACTCCTCAAAGACAAAAGATCGCAATATAATAACCAGCCCCAATTTCTCCCAGATGCAAGCGTTCCGTACTCTCCCCCTACTCACCATGGCCACCGCTGCCCGAACCAACCGACGTCTCTCCCGCCTGCGAGCCCAGGCGTTGGCTATCAAGCACGAGGCGACAATCCGTGACGCCGCTGACACCTTCACAAGACGGCGCTGCAGCAGGGACCGCTTGAGCTCAGCCCGTTGCGCGGCTGCCTTGGCCCTTTCTCTACGGATCATGGCGACGCGCCTTCTCGCTAGGTATCCCCGGGTGACGGCGGCGCACAGGATATTGCCGGTGGTGGTGGCCTTCTTCCCCGCCGAACGTTTGGGGACCCCCAGTTGCCGCCACCTGTCAATAGATTAGTGAAGGTCGACACTAAGGTAGGTAACCACAGGGAGTAAGCCGCATAGGTCGAGTTTCGTCACTTTGATTCACTCACGCCATAAAGAGGACTCTCTTTGAGTCTGTTCCGGCAGCCCGAACCTGAGTCCGATCGGGATGGTGAAGAAGGATAATATTGGGTCGACCCAGCAATGTCACCAGGCAGCAATATAACCGTAACATAATATCCAATTTGCCATCATGAAGGTTGGTCATCCACCCAAGGCTACCATCCGAATCAATCGACCACTGTCTCTACCGGGTGTCAAACCTGCCGACCGCGAAAGAGCTACCAGACGAAGTCAAAGCAGGTAAAGCAATCTCGTTCCCGCTTACTTCTGCCATGCCCGAAGCTTGGCGATCGTGGCGACCCTCTTCACAATGTTGGTCGTCTTTTCCAACCCCCTCCTCTGCGCCTCTCCCAGATACCCAATGTCTTTCAGGTAACTCAGTGGCAACGTTCTCGCGGTCATCCCCATTCCCCGCTCGAGCGCGCGTCTGATTTCCCCTTCCTTTTTCGTCTCGCCCAATCTCTCGTCGGCTAATCGCCGGCTGTCTTCGTCGACCAGCCGCCCCACGGCCACAGTGTCCTCTGCCCACGCCCCTAACCCCGCTGCCAGCTGAACGGTGGTGGGCTCGACAGGAGAAACTTCGAAGGTATCCTCGAAAGTTCCTACCCCGCCAAGGACGACGTCACGCGACTGTAGCTGTGACAGCGACTGCCCAGCGGGGGCGGTGGAGGTGTGCGTGGACACAGATGCGTCAGCGGGTGTGGGAGCGGGAAAATACCCAAGTTGTGCCGTTGCCCCTGTTAGTAGTGTTGCTGTGCCTTCTTCTAGTGCGGCTGGTGTTGCTGTTCCTGTTTCTACTTCTCGATATTTTGTCATCAACGTTGACTCTGGCTCCTTTGTGCCACCATCAGCGGCTGTTCCTACTGCTTCTTCTGCATGTCTTGGTCCGGCCGTTTGCTCACTTGGCAATGACACTGCCTCGACACCAGCCTCATTAGCACTGGAAGTGTGGGCGGCATTGGAGGCAACGATATCACTTGTCCCCAAGAACTGTGTTGTCGATGGCTTACATGCCAGCACCCCCCTTCGTTTAGGTGATGCCCGTACACCGGTTGGAACAGCAGGGGTTCTTCCAACTTGGCCCAGCCTGGGGTATTGGTTCCCATTGGTGATAGCCCCGACGTGCTTTTCGCACCCCTTCTCTGCGACACTTGTCTCTCCTGGTGACAAGAATGATGACGGTGACTGGTCGTTTCTAGGCTTCCCTGTTGCCAAGTCTGTGTTGAAATGATTCGGACGCCTGCGGTGGCTGCTGGTATTCTCCGCCCGTTGTCGGAGGGTGGCGTATGCGTTGTGTACGTCGCCCTCTGTTACCTGCGCAATTAATTTTCTGCCGTCATCCGCCCCGTTAACAACATCCTCTTCAGCAATGTTGTCTGCGACGGTACGCGGTGGAACAGGTCCCAACCACCGCAACGAACCGTTGTCTTCATGTCCCTGCCGCGACACATCACCCCTGTTAGTACGTCTCCCGTTCTTGGTGTTGGGGCTCTGAACCTCGCTGCTGCGAGCTAGCGACGACACCAGCACCTCGGAGGTATCCCCGTGGGACATAGCGTTCGAGTTTACTTTTCTTTTTCTACCTATTGTGGCCGGTGCTGATGGTGCTGCTGGCTTCGAGATTGGGGAATGTGGTGCCAGAGTCGTCAGACCCCCATCGGAAGGTGCGACCCCTTGATGTCTCCCAGACCCTGCTGCATGGCCAGTGTTCTGCCCATGCTGCTCGTGCCGCCGGTACCGAGGTTCGTGTTGGCGCGTTCGAGACGTGGCCCCATTTTCCTCTTCACCGCTTGGAGAACACGGGATCACGCGAGACGACCTGACAACGCGGAAGTAACGGCGCGAAGCCAAGAGTGAAAATAAACGATGCTTGTCAAACGTCCTCGACTACAGGAGCAGTGACAACATAGTTCGATCAATGTTTTGGTACAGATTGGTCAGGTAGGACAGAATGCTCAATTCTGGACTTTTCTTTTGGGGTATATTGGAGGCTGACATCGTATGGCAGCCTCAACCCCCATCTGTACCTGCACGTAGAAATGTCCGAGAAATGTTCGAACAAAACAACCTGTCTAGGGTACTCCTCGGACTATTTTCCGGTAAGGTTGGGGTCCTTCACGTTGTTACCGATCAAACGTGAATACAGCTGCTGCCAAACAACTACAAGCAGTGCTGCAATGTTCTGGTACCGTTGCCGTCGAACTCGATACTGCCATGAAAAGGAAAAAGTTCCACCGCCGAAAAGTTCACCGCCTCACATACGTTGTCATTCCTTTACCATCTCGAACCACCATCGAAGGCGATACCCAATATTGCCTGAAAAAATCGGCCAAAAAAACTGCGCGGGTCGCTTTGGTAGGTGTCTGAGGAGGGAGTGAATCCCGACACCACATCCGTAGACACTTGCATTGCAGTCCATGACTGCTGCCAGTTTTTCGTGCGTATGCGTGTGATACTCTTAAAGATCAAGGAGAGTGAGTGTATTCGTTGGACTTCATTATGTGATGTAGACACGGCAGATCTTGTCGAAGCAAAGAGCCCCTGTTAACGACATCACTTGCTGGGTTCACGGAGACCACTTAGTCTACATGTAGGCTATCTACGAGCAGTAAACGAAGGACCGAAAAGAATAGTCATGCAACGAACGGTGTTGATGCTTATCCTTGTATTCTGGAGCTGTGAAAGTACAGCAGGATCATGAGCCACATAAGTTAGGTGCATGGGTGTCAAACTTGCAGATAGTGTCCATGTACAGTATCCGCCAATGCTCACTGCGACACTGGCTACAGTACACACTCGTGTCTGCCTGTGCGATTCCCCTTCGAGCCACACACCACCTTTGTCTGCCCCCGAAGGACGGAACCCTTCCGAGCAGAGTCAGCATACTCATTGAATTCTTCTGCTGCAGCCTCATCGACCTCGGTACGACGTTTTCCAAATCATGCAGTGCCTCGCCGAGTGCATCAGAGTAGTCAACCTCCAGCCCTTTCCCCTGCTCAGCCTCGCGCAGTAGTCGCACTAGGTTTGTGGTGCTGCCAGTGGTACCGCCGACCCCACGGCCATGGGCGTTGTCGGAGTGCCGCATAATATCAGTTCGTACATCAGAGGCTATACGTAGCTCAGTCTGCGTAAACCTCACACGTACTACGCACGGAACCAGGCCGATCCACACATCAGAGATGTTGATGTTCCCTTGTGCCTCAATCGCGGGGGGGCGAACGCGGCGGAATTACTGTTCTACCGGCGTTTCGCCCGAAACGCAAACAAAACCAAAAAGCGCGGTACATTGTAGTCCGCCGCATAAGGCACAAGAGCAACAGAGATGCTCTACACCCGTTCCTTCAAGCCCCGCCTCCGTAATGAACAGTAGACTTGTACAGGGCGGTAGATGAACCACCGTGATGGGGAATGTCTTTCAAGCATCATATATCGACGTGCACGAGGCGGCCCAATCTGGACATATCGACGAAGTCAGGTGAAAGACAACGAATACCACGATGCACCAGCGCTACGCTTCCGAGGCCCTTTGTACCGGTTGGACTAGCTGTCTTGCACGATAGTTGTAGCGAGACATCGACATGCGTGGTTATGGCGTCACCCTTCTATGATTTCCAAAAAAGCGAGTCTACACGATGTGTCGTGTAGGTGCGGGTGAACATTGAGCGCGTTTGGTCGTCGGGAAGAAGTAATGAACACATGCACGGAGACAACCCTCGATGTGCCGACCTACAGATGCAAATACTGCTGTAATGATATTCATGTGGACTACAAGTCGACTGCATGGATGAATTGCACCGGCCGCCACCGAGTCTTTAGTGTAAGGACACCCCACTCAAACACCATTGTCCTGTCTCCGACAGGTGTTCCTGAGTCTTCTGCGTGAAGTCCTCGATCAACCGATCCCAAGATCTGTCTCGGTTGGATATCCCTTTTGTTTACGTGCTGTGCTGTCTGGTTCGTTGCTGTGTCTAGACTATATATAATCCAGAGACGAGAGGAAGGCTCGTCGGGGATAGTCGTAGAGGAAACGAGAAAACGCCAAACTCGCTGTATTTGGTAGATTTGCCACCAGCTGCGTCTTGTGAGTGGTGCGATGCATGTCGAGTGCGCAAGCGTTCCGTCCCAACACTCCGCTACTGTTGTACCATGGCGAAAAGCACGGGTGAGGTGAGCTCAATGTGCACAAAGATTCGGCACGAGCGGCATTCTTTGCAGCATGCTTCTGTCGGCAGCAAAAAAAACTCCCACCGTGGATCACGCGTCCCCTCAACAGCATCCATCAATGGAGCTAGACGCCATGTGGAGATTTCACACTGACGTACAGCAGTACAACACATATCCCAACTTTCGCATGCTTTGCAGGCGATGGGTCGACGAAGGAAAACCGGTGGACGCGAGAGACAACACGCAAAAGACCCCCCTCCACCATGCCGCCCAGTGGGGGCAGGAGGAAGCGCTAGACTTCCTCATCGAATGCGGCGCAGACGTCAATGCCGCCGACTTTATCTCGGACACTCCGCTGCACCTGGTAAGCAAATGGGCAACGCAGGCGCGTGCGGTCAAGTAGCATTTGTTGCACTCAGTGTCGATCTGCAGGTGGCCTGCTAGTTTGTTTGCTCAGGCACGGTACGACGACGGTATTTGTAGACGATGCATTACTGCCCAATATGTTTTCGTGTATAGAGGACTACTTGAAGTCCGACAATAGTTGGCCGTTGAAGAGAAGGACCCGCATGGCAATTGGATACCAGGCAGCAGCGCTTGCCGAAGTCGACCGTCTCGTCACCTTGAACGTGGTACTTTTCCTTCGCAGGCGTGCTACTTCGGCCACGCAAACTGTGCGCGTATCTTGATCATGGTGGGCGCGAACATCGCTGCCAAGGATTGCTACGGCAACACTCCGTCTCAGATTTTCGACGACCACGTGACGGAGCCAGTGTTGGACGAGGTGCGCCGGCAAACAATTCAAAGACTCTTGCATGGATCTGGTAGTGTTATGGTGTTGTCGCCCGGGTACTGCTGTGTAGCAGAGAGACGTCACAGGTGGTGGAATGTGCCTTGACCCCCTTGCGCGGTCCAACGCGGTTAAACGCTCTCGATGTACAGCCTGCAAGATAGCTATTCGTGCTTGGATCGGGTTCGGAGCTGCTACCACGATACTCGCAGTGTTGTGCGCCAAACGAAGACATGCTGCTATTTTCCCTGCGTGGCAGGAAACTAATCCTAACTTTAGCTTGTTCGACTCGGTGTCAACATGGATCCACTCTGCCGCACACGTCAACACTGAAAAAACAGGACACACCCACCTGGTACGATTTGCGACATTCGGATAGCGTGTTGTTCAATATCGTGCGACAGGGGATAAGGCTCCTTCCGACAAAGGTTCCACAACTTTTTTGACGACATTGATTGCTTGATGCAGATCCGCTTCATTGTGCGAGAGGTGATGAAAGGCCCGCCCTTGCTGCCGGAGTCTGGTCCAGACTTGGCTCGCCCGTCCTCAGATGCCAAGCAACACCCGGGTGGCAATCCTCATCGCCAAAGCAGCTACTCAGCCGCGGCTTCACCGCACCCGCCTCAAGCGCGCAAAGATAGTGGCACTGGTCAGCGGCCAGTCGAAAGTGGAAGTTTATCGTCGGAACCCCGGGCTACCGTGGAAGGGGCGACCCAACGAGTGAAAGCAGTGCCCTACACCCCGTTGGGGGACGGGGGGATACCGCCAAGGGCATCGTCCACGGCGCTTCAGACGGGATTAGGGTTGGACAGAAAGAGTGACGTAGTTAGCAGTCCTGCAGGAAACGGTCAGAATGCGAGCAGTACGCCGTTGTTAGGGTCTTCAGGCCCGGAGCAGCTGGGGCAGCAAGAAAAAGGAAGGGTTGGAAGAGATGACAGGGCGTGGGAACCAGGGGTTGATGGGAAAAATGCGGGCACCACCGCCGTGGAGGGGGCAGCGGTGCCTTCGCCGCTAGATGGGCCTTCAGGGCCCGGAAGCCTTGCGCCACGCCTAAGGCTTAAGCTTCCTTGGGAAGACGAAACGAGCCCCGAGCAAGCGAGAACAGAGGGGAGCGAGAGATCTCCAGAGGGAGCCGCTGCCGGCGCTTCTGGCGATGGGAATGCCAGCGCGCGAATGGTAGGAGAAGAGGGTACGGCGGCGACGGGGCTGACTTACCCAGGACCCCGCCCCCTATCGGCCCCTTCGATGCGCCCCATGATTAGTGCAAGCAGGCTTAACGCTACGATTCCGATCCTCTCTGGGAGAAGCTACCAGAGTCACAACGTCGTCAGGGGCAAGGGCGAAGGCGGGGGCGGCACTCTGGGTGCCAGCGGGAGCTTGGGTCGCACGGGGGCTGCTACCTTGGCGGGAAGGCTGGTGGCGTACGCGACGAGACCCGGCGGGTCTTTGGACATTTTCGCAGCTGCGAGAGACGGCCAGGTGGGTGGGGGTATGAACCTCGTGGACGGGAACATACACAGAGCGAATGATTGGGTGCGAATAAGAACGGACAACGTTAACAATCATGATTTTTCAGTGGACGGAAGGCATTCACAGAACGAATGATCGGGTGCGAATACGAAGGGATAATGTAACAAACATGATTTTTCAGAGCAAATGATTGGGTGCGACTACGAAGGGACAGCTTCAGCGGACTGTGCTCCCCTCGTCGTCCTGCGAGCCTGCAGACACGTCACACACACGGACAAGACGCCTCCGACCATATACCTGCTGCTTCGCACCCTCTATGAAGACAAATGAATTAGCCGAGGCCTACCTCTCACCCCAACGGTGTTGCTCGTCGCCAGGTTAGTGTCTTGAAGCAAGCGCTTACGGATGGGGAGGAGGTGGACGCCCAGGACGAAAACGGCCTGACCGCGCTCATGTGGGCGGCTCGGGCCGGAAGACTCTCCACGGCCAAGTACCTCGTGTCTCAGGGGGGCAGCCTCACGCGGAGGGACGACGCCACGGGGTTTTCGCCTTTGCACTTCGCGGCGTACTACTGCAGGCACGGTTCGGGCCGCACGGTTCACGGGGGGATTGTGCGGAGTCATGGAACATCAGGCGTAGCCTCCCGCAGCGGTGTAGATCTGTGAAATTCTCGATATCATCTGGAGATTGTTGTGCGTCTCCGGCCATGATCAATTCCTAGGAGGTGTGTTTCCACGCACGAGGACCCAACCTGCTCTCGGAAGTACGGAGGAGCGCATGGCACTCCGTTACTCATGACACAATTCCTTCTCTTGCCTCTGCCTCATCCCCTTTCCTTTCCGACCTCCACCCTGTTCCTTTTCTGGTCGCTGGGGCTGGGACAGGAGTTCCGTGGTGCGTGTTCTAGTGCTTGCCGGGGCGGATACTCAAGCAACGGATAACGCCGGGAAAGCGCCGGGGGAGCGGTTCCAGGCGGTGTCCTACCTGAGGTGATATGCACGATACAAGAGAGCAGCGGTCACCGACGCGATCGTACCCTGTGTCCGATTTTCCCTTTGCCTACATGTTGGACTGTCTGGTCTGGTGCAGTAGCGGTGCTGACGTATCCTTCATGTTTTTCGCCTTGGCGCCTTCGTTCAACACTGTCAGCTACAAGGCTTTTCATCATCGACGGTTGATCGGGCGTTTTCTGACGGGAAACATGAAGGACGGCATGGACGACAAGGGCAAGACTATGTTCCCCAAGAACTGTAAGCGCCGAAAAGAACACCGCATACGCGGTTGACTGCCCGCAGAAAGCACAGGTTTAGTACACTATCAGGCGTGAACGAACTCCCCGATTGTACTACATTTGCACCGCTAGGCTGGCTCTAGCACTGTACGAGCTAGCACCGTTGCGCTCCACGTCAGCCGTGAGTGTGCTGCGTGTCGGCGTGGACAACCCCCTTTGCACGGTTGTCAACAGTAAATAGGCGGAAACCGCATGGTTGAGATACATGACAAGGGTTGGTCTTCCAAGAAAATTCGCCCGTTTCGCGATCAGCCGAACGGATGGCGCGCACCACGACGTCCTACCCGCCACATCTCGGCCTGCTTCTACATACGCATGTCTCACGTACCCCCATTGGCACGGCACTTAGTTCATCGAAACCACTTCCGCGCACTACACCCTGCTGGAACTGACCGATGGCCAACATCCGTGAACCCCCAACGACTAAACGAGACTAATCCGGACGCCCCACCGGCACCTCTTCTCCCGCCGCTCTCGGCCCTCCGCTGATCAACCGCAACCGCGTCGCCCCGACGTATAGCTCCGCTAGAGGCCTACGACGAGGAGCACCGGCCGCAGTGCGTGCGACTAGGGAGTAGCGAAAACCTGGCTATTTCAGAGTGAGTCAGTGCCTACATATCTAACAGGGATCAGAAACTCCTGTCGGATGTATTAACTGTATGCAGTGCACACTCAGAACAAATGAAGCAACAAGTGTGATTGGAAATACAAGGCCCCCCGCACCGTACCCCGTATGCCGTTCAAATTACCCCCCTACTTAATATTTGCCATGTGACGCTTCTCCTCAGCCCATCGCTCGCATTCCACAGCTTTATCACTTTTGCCAACCCCAACCTTGTGCTTCTTTGTCTCTGCTGTTCGCCACTGCCCTCACGGGCGTGGTCTGTGCGCGATGGTTGATATTTAAGCGTGTACTGCTGTATGATGATACAAACAGACAATCATCCCCTCGGGGCTGTTGCACGTTGAGACGAACGAAAGGCCCTGAACGCAGTTTTCTCGCCCGAATTACTCATACTGGCGGTAGCGTTTGCTCACAGTGCTGCTTCCTTCGTAAAAAAATGCTGCCTGTCGTGCGTTCTTCACGGCTGTTGGCATACCTAAATGCGCGACTGCTCGAGCAGCCAAGGCTCGACCGAGGAAGACGAGCGACCGTCGAAACACGGCAGCAACCGCTCGAGCAGTGCCTCCCGCTCTCGCTCGCGGAGCCGGCCCGATCCCTCGACGAGCAGCCGCCGAGCCTCGGCGGACATAGCGCGCAGAGCCTACGCAACGATGCAAACGATGCACAGCGGGGTCGACGACGGCTCGGTGGACAGGGAAAGGGGCAAGTCGGAGGTCTCGAGGGGCGGGGGTGCCGGGGACAGCAACCCCGCTGGGGGCGTCCGCTACTACCTGAGGAGAGGGTCGCTCCAACAAGCAGCCAACAAGACTCGAGAGATGATGACCGCCGGCGACAGCAACGACATCCGCTCTCAGAAGGCGAGCACCTCAAACCGCAGCCGCTCTTCCTCACGACCGGTGTCGGGTGGTGGGGGGAGCGGGAGAGAAAGCGGCGTCAGCTTCTACCTCCGCAGAGCATCGCTGCAGGGCGTACCGTTTCTCGATGGGTTTCTCTCCGGCAGCTTAAAGAACCAGGATAGTGGCGCGGCGGCGGCGGCGGGTGCGGATTCGGCACAGAGGAAAGGGTCGAACAGCTTCCGGCCAAGCCACGACGCCGGAACCGATAACGGGACCGGCAACGGCGATGATAAATCCTCGACCGCCGTCGAGGGTGCTGCTGCCATCAGCGCCGCCGCAGCCGCTGCTGGGGTCGTCGCTGCTGGTGCCGCTACCAAGGCCGCGTGTTCGGGGGGATGCAGCGAACGCGAGAATGTCGACGACGAAATGGAAGTCGGCGGGGGCAGGGGCTCTCGAAGAGATCGGGGTAGCGCGAGCAGTGGCAGCGAACCAGACCGAAGAGAACGAGGCGGAGGAGGAGGCGGAGGGGGGGAGGAGGGGCAGAGACAAGGAGTGAGGAGACTATCAGCAAGGATTATCGAGGGTATCCAGGGTGGGGTGAAGGAACTTGCTGGTCAACTCAAGGTGGCCCTACAGCGTTCATGAACTAACTAAATGGAATTAATTCCAGATACAGGCTTTTATCCAAAGTAGGGCTCCATGTTGTTCTTGAGCTGTTGAGTGTTGCCCGTCAAGGCAATACCGCCTCAAGCGTTCGTAAGAAACGAACCCCTCGCTTGTCGGTACAAGGAGTCGCCCAAGCACACATAACACGATTGGTTCTCCGCCAATTGGAGTCGCTGCGAGGTGTGGAGCCTTTGGCGCACTCCACCGCCGCGCGCCTCACACCTGATTATACCGCCAAGTAGTGCCCAGGCGTGGATGTGTACTCCCTCGCACGACGCACCCCGCACCCCTCGGTAACGAACCCGTAAAGAGCAGGGAAATGTTGGAGACGTCTTGTCCGAGGCAAAACGGATGCCTTCGTTTCGAACGAGTCACGTACAGTAGTCATGGTGTTTTTATGACTGCTGCAAGCTTCTCCGAGGCTAGAAGGATACCTCCGTTTCGAACGAGTCACGTAGTCATGGTATAAATGACTGCTGCAAGCAGTAGCAATAACCCCCGCCTCCCCGAATTTTGTTGCGTCTTGTCAGGGCGATAGGGTTCCGAGCGGCGATCGTGGTTCGGTCTACAAGGACCAGGACGTCGAGTCGGGCACAAGGTGCGAAAGAGTGCTGTCGAATGCCTACTGAGGGCAGCGCGAGCAAGAGGTTCGCACTATTTTTCAAAACCTAGGCCAAAAACATGATCTTGCACGAAACACACAGTTTTCGCCCCGCGTCAATGCGCTTCCCGTATCGCGTGTCGTATTTGTAGCAGTTGACGTCCGCGATCAACAGCAACAGTAGCCATCCATGAGACGGGGCTGCTCTCTAGGGCACCAATTTTCCCTTCTTTTGTACACACAGATGACCCCCCGCTCTCCATTGCCACGTCGAATCGCGTCCCACGTGTATTGTGGGCGAAGGGCGCTACAACCGCACGATCCCAGAGGTGAAATTGAGACACCGGTGTTCCCCTCTGGTTTGGAGCAGCCAGAGGAATCTCGGCCAAAGTCGCAACAACAGTCGCCAGAACCGCGACAGCTACAGCAACGGCACCAGAAACGAGAAAGCGCTACCGGCGCTCCTGGAAAACACAACCAACGAGCGAGAATACATTCAGACGGCATTCCCGTCGAGGACGAAGGCGGTGGCGGCGGCGGCGGCGGCGCCAGCTCAAGTTTAGGTCGTCCTCATGGTGGGGGCGAGGGCGGTATACCCGCTATTCAACAAGAAGCGGACGCTGAAGAAATTGCCCCCCAAGGTGAGAATGGTCACGGATATATTTCACAGTGCTCGGGTGCCGAACAATGTCCGATCTCGGAGTGCTGATCTCTGAGCAACCATGAAGCGATTTCCACCGCCTGGCAAGGGCACCTTCGGTACCCTGAATGTTCTTCCCAGCCATCAAGTTCGGTTAGCTACGGTACAGCACCTTTTTTGTTTATGTTCAGATGATTTACCTGTCCTGCGCAAAAGAAACACTACGGGAACTCGGCGGAAGCAGACTTGGGGTTTACATTGTTATTTTCTAAACTGCCGCCGCTACTGCGTTAGGCGGCTGCTGCTGTCCTTCCGTTGCTTCACGCGCTCTGTAGCTCTCACACGTTACCCGACTTTGCTACAGCCCCTGCGTGGACTCGATCACGGAATGACATCCCCACCTATAGACTACAATAATAAATCCAAACACCGTGACCCTGGGTTTCCGATAGAAAATGAAGCCAAATTCTAATTCGACTGTTACAAAATAAACACCAGTTTATTCTATCTGCTCTTCGAACAAACCTTCCTATTATTCCACCGTCTCGATCACCCGCACACAGGTCAACTACATTCAACCCCTGTTCCATTAACCTATCCATTCCCTGTGGTACTCTTTGTGATACTCTTTGCCTGCATGTGCAGAAGATTTGTTTGAGAGGGTACCCTGGGTTGGATTTTCTTATCCCGAGCGGCACAGGAAGCATTTTACATCAAGCGAATCCACACTGTGTGTAGGAGACAATAATTTCGAGGTTTGGAAATCTTTGGGGGGTTGCCAGCCCAGGAAAAGAAAGTGATCGTTCCTCCCAAAACCTATCTCTCGAACCGACAGATTTTGTTCCAGAGACCAACCAAAGAATCCCCCTCCCACCCCTCCCGCCACGTTGCAGCGGAAGAGCATCACCGCGAAGGAGACGGGGACAGTCTTGCTGATGTCGCCCCCCCCCGGAGAAAGCGAAAGCAGCGGCAGCTCAACCGGGACCCGTTGACATATTCGCTCGACAACGAACCAAACCACCCCCAAGAGGAGCTGCCGCAAGGAGGACAGACCGGCGTCGTCGTCGGTATGCGTGCGACCCCCACGCCGACTCCCAGGGGGGAAGAAGGTGCCCGAGAGAATGCCCGAAGGAATCAAGACGCGTTCTCCGCTGGTGCGGGATCGGAAGCTACGCCCACCATCCTCGAGCCCGAGGGAGCGGATGAGGCAAAGGCGAACGCGAAGGCCCGGTCGGTGGCGGAGAGTCCCGTGGCGGTAAGCCCTGCCGGTGACCCCTCGGCCGTGGGCGCGGGCCCAACGAAGAAGGCGACGGCCTTGGTTGGCCGTGGCGAAGACCGCTTCATTTCTCAGGAACGAAAGGAGACGACGGGGGGAGCACCCGCTGCCGTGGTCACGCCCCGGCCTCCGTCGGCAAGAGACGGAGAAGGAGCGGGGGCAGGCAGCGGGGTCGATTCTCTGGAGCCAAAGATCCACAGCGAAGACGAAAGCATCGGCAAGAAGCACGGGAAAAGCGACCGGAAGAGCGGCGGCAGGCGAAAGCACCACCACCGCAAGCACAGGCGCCACCATCGACACAGAGACGTTAGCGACGACGAGGGCGGGGGCGACGGAAGAAGGAGAGGTCGCCGCAGCAGCAGAGACCGCCTCTTGCGAGGGCCTGCCCTCTCGACTACCACCGCCTTGGCGCCCCTCAAGCGGGTCCCCCCTGCTTCGTCGTCGCCGGGGAAGAGTGCCGTTGACGGCGCTGAGGCGGTGTCAGAGCCGTCTGTGGGGTTCGGCGGTGGGGGCGGCGATCTCAGCGGCGACGGCGGCGGATAGAAGAAGGCATCGTTTCGTCGTCACGCTCATGCTGTATATCGATGGCAACAACCTTGGCGCCGTATTTTTGGTTGTTTTCCCGATGGAACGTGTTACTACACGGCGTGGACAAGGAGGTTTTTCGTCCACGTTTTTGGGTGCAGGTGTTGCTGCACGGTACGCATTCCCTGGGGCACCTCGGGTTGTGATTGCATGCGTTAAAGAGAGGAAGTCGATGTTTTGATCCCCGACGTGTTTGAGGAGATTCTCAGGAGCCAAGGGAATCTAGGCAGCGTGTCGACGGGTTTGTCCAGGATGAAACCACGGAGGGTGGGAACCGAGGCATTGTTGGCTTCGCCGGGACCAGCATGTTCCTGGCACGGCAGCCGTCGCCACGTTATCGGCTACAAAACTTGCCAACGTCGGGAATTGTTCAGTTATGCAGCAGGATGTTCTCTTACGATTGAACATTCTCCCCAAAACGAGTGTGCGGCAGTAACCGATCACAGCAGTGGAGGATTTGTCCTCGCCAAACTGGTAAAGGGTAAGGAAGAAGTGTATGCCTGACGGCAGGCAACTCTTGTCGAAGGGTCGGTACGGCCGGCACGTAGTACGAAAACCCGCATGTTTCATGGTCGGCACTCAGTCCGTGGGAGGCAAAATGGTTTGGAGGGAAACATTTGGCTCTATAGAATGTACACAGAATACCTTGATGCGTAAATGCCTTCTCGCACCTCCAATTCTATAGGGGCGGCCTAGGTCGAATCGGCGGTATAGCCGACGATGAACACTCCCGGACTTCCTAGAGGTGCGCAGAAAGCTTGGATACCCCAGCGTGGTAGACTCCAATAGTTTGTACACGATATTTACTTTTAGATAGTCTCTCATCCCCTTGCCAAGCCTGACATGTAGGTGTTCTGCTTTCTCGGTATAGACTAAGTGTTGTTGCCCCACGTTGTTTTTACAAGCCTCTTTTAATTTTTTCTAACATTGTTGCAAGAGGTAACAACATGACTTTTGAGAAAGGTCTACTTGATTGAAGTTTACGGTAGTCCGGTGGGGATTGGCCTGTGGCTACGGAAAATTGTCCTCTGAATATTACTGCTTAGAGACGATTGTATTGGTATGGAGTGTTATTGATAGGAAGAGAAGGAACTTGACGGGCCGAACCACGACAACAATGAGGTACATCCTGTTTCTCTCGCTCACATCTGACTTGATTATGATATTGACTTTGCCGAAGCCGTCTGGTTGTCATGAATTTGAGGTAAATAAAGGCCGGCTCTCCAGGCGGCGAAGATGTATGTAGCCGGGCACATTTGCAGTCGCACCTACCTGGCGCAAACGCGCGGGCCCGTTTCAACCAAGCGAGGAGTCGGAGCAAAATCGGCGCTGACAACGGCAGAGTTGCAACATCATCTCTGGAGCCACTTAAACAAAAATTCGAACTTGTACGTGAGCTGGTATGCGTACACATGCATTTGTAGACCACTATACAACGTACACGGCTACCCCTACTACTGCTATAATACATGTGACATACATGGGACAGGATGTCACCCCCCGCACCGATTTTCAAAACTCGACTACTTGACGATACATTTTCGGAAAGCTCTCGACGAGACGGTTCCAACGCCGACCTTTTTGGGCCCAGCCACTCTCTATCTCTGCTTTGGAGTAATCTAGCTTTGAAAACTGGGCCAAGGGATGTGATAGATTTTGTCCCCGTGGGCGGTGAAGGCTGTACAACACTGCACTGTGCACTGTGTGGTATTAGCTTGCATCTTTGGATCCCAGTCTGCCGCACAATGCAATAACCAATGCGGAGTCAAGGGGGGGTGAAAAATAGGGAAAGTGAAACCATTGAATTTTCATAAGGGATGCACTCGTCGCAGTGGACCGCGCTGAAAGCTACGCCAGACGCTGTGTAGCTAGCGCAGAGCGACGATCTTTTTGTTTGTGCGATCTTCGTAGATCGCACTGGCCCGCTCCGTGTATGTAATTACACGATCCCGGTGACACGTATGCAGACAAAATCCCGATTCGCGGAGCCTCTTTCTCTAGCGGTGCGTGTGTGTGCACTGCCAACAGCAGACATCAGGACAGAGAGAGGCCATCTTTGTGCCTTGCTGTGGGGTCGGCGAACGCGAAAAGGTGAGAGATGGGTAGAGGCGAACAGTTTTTCTTGCTCCGTGCAGGCTCTGGTTGCTGGTGAGTCTTCTAAATGCTTGCCACAGAAGCAAGATCCAAATCGACTTCCTCTGCCAGCAAAGTCTTGGCGGCGGTGTATTAGGCGTGTGCTTCCCGCGCGGGCAGCGGCGGCAGCGTGGCTCTCCCACTCTCTGTCGCTGCCCGTCTTCCATCCATGGCTCGCTAGTGAAGACACCCTGCTTGTTGGCGTTCTGTGGTGTCCGCGGCCAGATACTACCGCCGCTGTTTTACTCCCCGCATTTTGACGACACAAACTCCCAGCCTAGACTGGCCGGAGAGCGTGTGCGGCCTGTACTTCAGCACACATCTCAGTGCCGACTGCTGGCGGCGACCGCATGATGGCAGAACTGCTGCATGCTCTGTGCTTATAGTGTACCCTCGTTCGTTCTGCCGCCTCTGCTCTCCCCTCGTGCTTGCTGGTTCACCACCCCCTACAAGCGGAGACATCCGACACAGCGGGGGTGCTACAGCCCACCTTGGCTACTGCGGCGTCTCAAGAGAGGGAGAGAGAGGGAGAGAGAGCTACAAACCGCGGCCGGGATAACAAACACTGGGGGTTGATTTGCAAAGGAGGCAGCACGCTCGAGGAGCTAGCTCGTGGTGCGGAAGGAAAACTCGCGGAGGTTAGCTGAAGGGGGGCGCTGAAGGCTTAAGGCGGCCATGTCTGCGTCTATCGAACAGCGCAATCAGGATGCCACCTGCTACACCGGCAACCTCGACTCCTCCGTAACGGAAGCGCTGCTGTGGGAGGTGAGAGCCAGTTAGGGACAACAGGTCGAAAGTCATCACACAGGCAGAGTCACCACAATGCAACCAAGATGGTTTTGCCGACTGCATCCATCTATCTCGCTCTATGCCGCAGACCGCTACACACTCTGGTGTGTCGGACACATGGTTGAATCCGGCCATGGGCGGCAGAGCACGGCAGACCATGTTTGGTGCAAATCCAGTCTGTGGGGCCCCGCTCTCCCAACGACAAGCGGCATTGCACCGATTCTTGGGGTGGTCTAGAGCGGTGATTGATTTGCATGCGTACCGGTGTTCTTACAGCAACAGCAGCAACAGTTGCCCTTCGATTTTGGAAGTGCTACAAGTACTGCTGTAGCTCATTCTCTGCTCTGTGCTGCACGAGTACCTCCGGTCTTTGCTGAGGAGGGAGGGGGGGAGGGGGGGGGGGGGTGTACTCATAGTCGTGCATGCCGTAGTCGTTTGACCATTGACCTCGCATCCCTACAAAGCCGGGACGGAGCACGCCGGGTTCTCACCGGACCAGGCTCTCACATCACCAAGCGCGAAGCGCCGTGAGGTATTTGGCGAGTCGCATGAAGGGTGAGCTGCATCCTGCTAAGGGTGTTCGGCATCTTGTGCTTACTTCCTTGCGTACGGATGACAGCTACGTATGACTTAATTTATTTTCTGGTGCTTTCACTTCCAGAGACAGTTGTAAGCACTGTGTAACTGCCTCGAGGGTGCTTGACCATTTTAACACAACGTGGTGCGATCATCCCCCGTTGCGCGGAGTGAGGGTTCTCGACCCCGCACAACATGATCTACTCGACCACCATTATGGTTACCGCCAAAAAAAAAACCGAGGTAAAAAAAAAAAAACGGTAACCTGGTTGTCGAGTTCACGAAGTGAATTGGCTTGTTTTACAACGTCGTTGCCAAGCGACGAAAACCCAATCCCGATGGCAAACACCGAGTGGGGGGCTTGTTTTACAACGTCGTTGCCAAGCGACGAAAACCCAAACCCCGATGGCAAACACCGGGGGGGGCAGGGGGGGAGGGGGGTGGCAAAGAAGTTTCGAACTCCACCGCAAGAGCTGGTTTCGGGAGGTATTCGAGCGCAATACACGCTGAATCACAAACTTTGCAGTGTACTAAGTTTTGTTGCGGGTCATTTTACGGCACCTGCACGACTCTTTTTTTTCGGGCTTATTTTGTGTGTGTTTACATGCTCTGTCCCCAGGCGGCGTGCATCATCTCGCCCCACTACAAATACCAAGGAGAAACAATAACAATAATTATCCTCACGCTGATGGCCTTTCGTTGATGCACAACCCGCGCCTTGAATGTAACCTGCCCCCAACATTTATCCCGCGAAAACCGGTTCCTTTACCAGTTGTTTCCGTTGGTTAGCCGATTGGCCCCCCTCGGTGCTAGTTAAGCATTCACACGCACAGAAAGGAGACAAATATTAATATTCGCAGGGGCCAAGGGACGAAGATACTTCTGAAGGTGCTGACGAAACGAACCCAACGGAGCGAGTAGAAGTCGGTCGGATACAGAGGGCGTTCCCTGCGGGGCGTTGATGATGCTACTGCGTAGCACAGCAGGAGCAGATTCCGCAACAGTGCTACTACGTACCACGTGTTTGTGTCCGTGTTTTCCTGTCGCAATTGCTCTCAAATGCGGACACCGGGTCATCCTGTCCTCCAATCCCGTCCCCCCCCTCCTTTGTCGGGGGAACCCTCTGACTTGAAAGCATGCTCGTGTTGAAATATCCCATTTTTTGAGACATGCAACGTACGCATCTGTCCATCGGTCAGCCGGCTAGCGCGGTCGTTGCTGCTCCTTTAAACCCCCAACAACGCACTTGGCACCCTCTGCGGTCTTGTCGGCGCTCGGCCTCGTTGGTGACAACAGCTGATGATCCAGGCGGGGCCCGTGGCGAACGTTCACATGCCCAAGGACAAGATCACGGGAGTCCACCAGGGCTTCGGGTTCGTCGAGTTCCGCAGCGAAGACGACGCGGAGTACGCCATCAAGGTGAGAGCAAGCGCGGTGGATCGATCGATCGATCGATCGGTCGGTCGGTCGGTCCCTTGCTTCCTGTGACACACTGTTGGTGGTGGAGGTGCTGTAGTAGTGGTAGTGGTAGCTGTTCCTGTTGCTGTTGCTGTGGTGGTGGTGGTGGCGGTGGTGGTGAGGGGTGTCGTTTTCGATGTGCCAGCCTGCCTGTTCTCGGTTCACAGCACGCCTTCGAGCATTCAGGCGGGGATGTGTGTTGAATCGACTGTTGCTGCTGCTGCTGCTGCTGCTGCTGCTGCTGCTGCTGGTGTCATCTGGTTCTTGAACCTCGCTAGAGAGTCGCACCGTTTACACACGGTAACTAGTTTGGGGCAGGGCTCTCTCATCAGCCTGAGTCACTAGTTTAAGGTGGGGCTCTCTCATCAGCCTGCGTCAAATTCTTCTGATTTACTCCGTTCTACGATATATGGTAGATGTACTTTTCGGGATTCGTTTTGGTCGGCGGTTTGTCAGGAGGTTTTTCGTTTGTTTTGGCGGGGAGAGATTAGCGCCTTGACCGGACCACCCCCGTTTCTTTTATAAACCCAACCGGGCAGATCATGAACATGGTGAAGCTCTTCGGCAAGCCCCTTCGCGTCAACAAGGCTTCCCAGGACAGAAAGGTGAGTCAAGAAATTCGAGCGTGCTATAATACTCCCGAAACGATGAGCGGGTCGTGGACTTGAGACTGCTTCGAAGCCCGTCTGAACCTTCCGGATGCGTCGTGGCGGGGGGGACGTGAGAGAGCGAGCAGCGCTGTGCGTGGTTATGTATCCAGCCCCCCCCACCCTCTTGGGGCGTACCAGTCGATTTCACCTTCAAGGCTCGGCTTATGGGGGTGCGCAATAGACAATTCGTGTCCGAATCGAAGAAAAGGGCGAGGTTGAGGCCACCATACCCGTAACGGGATGTTGATTCCGCACCGTAGAGATAGAGTGCGGGAATATTCCGCAGACGAACAACGTGGGAACGAGCCTTTTTTATCATTCTTCCCCATACCGTATGTTGATGCCGCGCTATTCCGTTTAACTTACCGGTAACATCCCGGAAGCGTACTACGTGGGAGCGAGCATTTTTTTATCGGTCTTTCCCTATACCGCATGTCGATTCCGCACCGTACCGTATACTTTACCGGTAACATCCGGCAGGCACACGACGTGGGAGCGAGCCTTTTTTCATCGGTCTTTCCCTATACCGGATGTTGATTTCACACCGTACCGTAAACTTTACCGGAACGTTCCGCAGGCGAACGACGTGGGAGCGAACCCTTTTTCATCAGCCTTTCCCATGACCCAGATGTTGATGCCGCGCCGTGCCGTATACTTTACCGGAACGTTCCGCAGGCGAACGATGTGGGAGCGAACCTTTTCATCGGGCAGCTAGACCCGGACGTGGACGAGAAGATGCTGTACGATACCTTCTCAGCCTTCGGATTCATCACGCAGACGCCCAAGGTCATGAGGGACCCGGACACGGGCATGTCCAAGGGCTATGGCTTCGTCAGCTATGACGGGTGAGATATCGAAAATACAAGACAGACGGGAAGGGCGGAAGACGGACAGACAGACAGACTGACACACAGTTTTGAACATACATAAATAGAACAGACAGATGGACGTACGGTGGACAGACAGACAAGCAGGCCGGGGGACACGCAGACAGGTGAAAGAGGCGGGGTTGGAGTGCAGTGGATGTTCTCGTGAGTCTTGGGGTATTGCGTGGTTTTTTGTGATTGTTCTTGGTGGCAAGAGCGGCTTGATGGAGAGGCGCGCCCAGCGTCTAGGTACCCAGACACGGGCTTGTGCTTTTGTTGCTGTCTTGGGGTGAATTTTTGGCGGGTTGTCCCCCACGAGGCGGTTTAGCCTTTCCGTTATGCGGCTGCTGCTGCTGCTGCTGCTGCTGCTGCTGCTGCTGCTGCTCGCTTTTTCCCCTCACGGTCATGCTCCTGCTTGCTTCCGCGGCTGCTGCTGCTGCTGCTGGTAGTAGTCGGGGTTGTGGGTGTTGCCGCTGATGCGCCCGCCGCCACGGCTGTCGCTCTCCGCAGTCGATGCTCCGGCTCTGGTGGTTGTTTTTTTTTTGTTTCTGTCCCTCTAGTATCCCGCTCTGTCCACATATTTCGATGGTGCTGCTACATCCACATCTTTCGATGGTGCTGCTGCCACGGCTTTTGTTGCCCAGGGTTGTTGTTGGCCCTGCTACCTCTGGACTTCGTCTGGTAAAGATGAGAGATCTTTTTATGACGATTTTTCATTCTTGGTGCCGATTTTTCAATTCTGAAGCTGCGGCTGGCTATACCTCTGGCACCACCCCCGTTAGCGCTGCTCCCACACACGTCTTCTGCTGTCATTGCCGACGCCGACGACGCCTGTGCTTACCGCTGATGGCGTGCGCCACCTCCGTTTGATTGTTGTTGGCGGGGTTTAGGTTCGAGGCAAGCGACAAGGCGATCGAGTGCATGCACAACCAGTACCTGTGCAACCGGCAAATCTCGGTGCAGTACGCCTACAAGAAGGACACTCGGGGGGAGCGGCACGGCGGACAGGTGACGTCACGGTGTTATATTGCCGCTGCAACAGCTGCTGCTGCTACTATGCATATGTGGTGATGGTTCAGAGTTTCTGTCGTTTGTTGTGGTGGGGGCGTAATTGGTTGTGACATCATCGGTGCCCACGTTCTTGCGCGGTCGGCGTAGCGGCTTTGTTTTTTCGAGTGCTTCCGATAGCCTCGCGTCAGCCCCACACGCACAAGCTGTGCTGTCCCATTGTTCGGCGGTAAAAATCTGTCCCCATTCACGATGCAAGCAACTCTCACCAGGCACGCACGTTGGCCTTGAGCGCGCTCACGCCGTGTTTCACGCCTCTTTCGGTTGTTTTGAAGACGTCTCTGTTGGTTGCTTTCCAGCCGTCTCTGTCGGATGCGTTCAAGACGTCTCTGTTAAGGCGCGTGTTCAAGACCGACACTCAATAACCGAGGGAACCAAGCCCTCCCTGGCCCACGAGAAATAACCAACACCGCGGGACATTCTTCCCTCTGCCGCGCCACCAGCATCGACCCCCCCCCCCCCCCC